CGGGGGCTTTGGAGCAGCCGAGGCGCGCGGGGGCTTCGGAGCAGCCGAGGCGCGCGGGGGCTTCGGAGCAGTCGCGCTCAGGCTGCCTGTGCGCTCGGGTCACTGCTGCCCCTGCCCGTTCGCTGGGTGCCCCTGTCCACAGCCTGCCCATTCACTGGGTGCCCCGCCAGCGTCTCGGTGGGCATCCCTTTCCTCGCTGAGACACCCACTTCCCTAGAGCATGCTGCAAACCACCAATTTCCCTTCTACTTTCCTCTTTCTTGGATGAGCGTTGTGAGGGAGCTGACCCTTTTCTTTTTCCCCTTGCACTTACCTGTGCGTCAAAGGGCACTTTGAGACTTGGATATCCCTTGAAACTAACAGTGGAGCCACCGGTCTGGGGCTGTGTGTGTTCTCTGTGCTCGTCTTGGCAAGACGGGATGTTTTAGTAGCTGGTCTGGTTCTGGCACGTTTTAGCTGCTTTCCAGGGAGACTAGAGGGTGCAGCGCCCGGTGGTGCAATTGATAAGACCCGTTCACGTTGTCGGTGTCTCCGTAGGAAGTGGCTGGGCCGCTCCTCATGAAGGGACATGGAGGAGGCAGATCTGAACCTGCCCCTCTGCTCCCCAGCGCTCAGCCAGTGCCCTGCAGGGACAGACGAGCGTTTCTGTGGTGTGGGGGAGCGTGACCCGCGCTCACGTGGCACGGAAAGCTCCGAGCTTCTGGGGCAGCGACCGGCAACTGAACGAGAGGAGGCTGCAGGCTGGGTGAATTGCCTTGGTATGGCCTGCACCATATCTGCACCAAGGTCTGCACCTCGGGCACGTCTGGGTTGTGAGCACGTCCACAGTCTCAGCTGGCCTTAACCTTCATGAAATTACAACTACTCAGGAAATCTCATTTAACCCACTCTACTGAAGAGTCATTCTTTTTTTTTAATTTTTTTTTCTTTCTATTTAAATAGCACTTAGCAATTTACCATTGCAGGGTTAATAGCAATTCATGACATGAAGACGGCATTTGGAGAGATCCATCAGGTCCGCTAATGAGGGAGCTGTGACCAATCCTGCACACAACAAATGAATTATAAGTGTCATGCAGACTGCTACTGTAAGGACTGCCACAGCTTTGCAACCCATTGTTTGAAGATTTAATTGGAATATTATTGGTGCATATGTGTATATATATAGACGTGTGTGTGCGTGTGCATATGTATATAAATACTTAGCTTTATGTCAAGGATTTGCCTTTATGTAATTCAGTGTTCTTCCTCTGCCGTGTTCCTTCTCCGTATGCCATGCCGAGTCTGCAGTCGGCACCCTCACTGAGACCCCAAAGAGCACTTAGCATCCCTGCTGTTCCCTGTTTAAAGACCTGTGAGATTTTGGAGAAATGGAGGGGAAATGCCAAATAACCTAAGAGCAGCCAGCAGAGAGAGAGAATGAAAATATATTCATGGTGTACAGAGATATTGGCCATCACCAGAGGAAAGGATGCAAGGACACATCTAATATTGATGCAATTCTCGCTATTTTGGCTTTTCTGGTCTCCAGGATCATACCTTCTGTAGGCCCTTGTTAAGCTGCTGGAGTTTAAGACTTTGTCAGCATTTGGGATAGAAATCTTTTTTTTCTGTGGGACTTTATAATTCAGCTGTGGAAGTTGTCTCTAGCTTGAAAAATGGAGTTCAAATTCTGCTCTTAGGAGACTGCAATTAAAGAAAAAAAAAAAGTGGTTTACCTTATCAAAATTCTTTCAACATCCTATGCTGGTAGGGAATATTAAGCATGTTTCATGTTGATGTAGCCTCTGTCTTCTCAAAATTTTCCCAGATGAGGTACAGATTGTACCTCAAGAAGGCATTGGCCGTGAAGGTAGCGTACAGCCTGTTTATGCCTTAAGCAGAGTGGGGAGAGGCGTTATGGGGGCGCAGAGAGAAGCCCTCGGTCCCAGCAGGACGCTGCCCTGGGGCCTGGCCGGCCGCTCCGAGGTGACTGGAGGACGGCGTGAGCTCTGCGCCGCGAGCCGGATGCGGGAATGGGCGCGCGGCGTGTCCTTGCTTCCAGGGAAAGACACGGCACATCCCAACAGCGGCGTTGCTGCTGTGCAAGGAAGGGGGCAAAATGCGACATGCAGCTGGCCCGGCTGAGGAGCGGCGATAGATCCCAGGCAGGAGGCCGCCTGCAGCCTCCGTTTGGCTTTCTGGTCATAGGAGGCCTCCGTGGGCTTCCCATGGGGGTGATCGGCCCTGAGAGGCCCGGGGTTAGCAGACTGGCTCAACCTGTTGTTTACTCGCTAAGAAATGCTGGTCTCCAAGCAGGTTGTGTGCAGTCAGTCCCTCTGCCTTCTGCAGGAAGGGTCCCCAAGCTGCCACCGTGGATGTGCAGCTGCTGAGCTTCAGGATGCTGGAGAGCTGTGAGCAACCTGGCTGGAGGAAGAGCAGGGAGGCTTCCTCGCCAGGGAAGGGAGTCCCTTATTCAGCCAGGTGTCTGGATTTGCGAGTGCCACCCTGCTGTGGACACAACAAGGCTCAGTTGGTGTGTCGGAAGGGGAACATTTGGCTTGCAGACCCTTTGGGCACTTAATAGTCCAGGTACCAGGAGTCTTTGAGGATTAGTTTTCTGAAGGTAAACAGGAGTGCTCGTTTCTGAAACGATAACCAGTGTAGCCTGATCCTATTGCAGTTACTCTCCAGAGCAGAATGGTGCTTGAATTTCTCCTCACAACTGAATGAAGGGAAAAGTTATGGTAATGCTTCCTGTCAGTTGGGTCATGGCTTAGCAGACATGAGTGTTAATACGTGACCTTTCATGTGTCACGTTTTCAGCATATTTTCTGCAAAATGCTAGAGACCTTTAGGTACCTATTATTGAGTCCATAACAAACTAAGTTTTGGGGAAGGGAAATTAAATTAGATATCAGATTAATTACTTGGAAATAAATTGTATGTGTCTTACTCTCTGAAAACAATTAATAAACACACCTAGCGTCAGGCTGAAACAGCCTCTTTAATTCTTCCAGTTTTGTGCAGCTGCTGCTGGCATTTCAACTTGGCCAGAGTGACTTTAGCTGAAGCAAGAGGTACAGCCTTAATTGCCTTGATATTGGGATCACCCTGTTAGATGTAATTTAGAGTTAATTTTCCTATTGTACAGAAATTCTGGAGTTTTTTTCCTTCTTGTCTATTCCTTAACAGGATGAAGACGAAGCTGTTTGACTTTCTGGTTATGGAAAGAGAAGGAAGCTACGATTTGTGCCTTGGGCACTCCCTTGGGCAATTTAGGTTCAAAGCCAGGCCTTACATTGGAGCTTGCTGAATCATGTTTCTGTTTCACCCTCGTTTCCTATATTTCCCCTGATTTACAGTAGTGACTAATGGATACATGTTTCAGAGAGAGAGAATGGTTAAATGGGCTGCCTGACTCCTGTCCTTCTATTTTAACCCTGGCCTTTTCTGGCTGCCCTGGCTCATCTGGCTGAAAATAATGTGGCTCAGTTAGGAAATGATATAAAGTGACACTTTGGAAACTCAACCAGTCTTTTGTTCTTAGAGGTAAATGGGATCGTGGAGGAAATAATTGTACGTGACATGGAAAAGAAAATGCACAATGAGGAACATCTCCTGGGTATAAAGATACTGCTTGTCTGGCTTCCTAGACAGGAGAGATTATTTCAAGTTCCCCTAGATAGACTTTTCACTCAAAATGTCAAGTGTGAGGATAAACAGCATCCTCACACTGTGTGAAATTGTTGCTGGAGACCAAAGAATGGCACTTTTGTCGACTTGCTGTTCAGTTATATAGGCATTTGCAAGTCAAAAGTGATTTGTTGTTTGTTTGTTTTTCTATTTTTCTATTTTTCCTCCCCAAATACCTAGGTCTGCAAAGTCAGCGTGAAGGGTACTCCTCCCTGTGCCTCTGCCGTGCTGCCTGTGCAGAGGAGAGAGAAGTTAGCGTTGAAGGACAGCCTGTGCAGCCAGCTCGTGCGTTAGGGCTGGGTCATGGGGAATATTCTGTGGTGCAATGTGCTGCTGCATTGAACTCTATTAAAAACAACAAAAAAAGAAAACTAGCTTGCAGGCAGTACGTTCACCTTCAGCAGCACGTGCTGTGCTCCCCAGGAGCTGCGCACCAACCACACGTGGATGGGAGCGTGCTGCTATCCAGCACGGAAGCAGCAGTGGAAACCCTAGAGTATGTTTGTATAGTGACCACATCCCCTGAGGGTCCCGCGTCATGGCTGGACATAGCCCACATTGCTGCCCTCTTCCTGCACCTTCCTATTTCTGTTTTTTCATTTCCTATAATTGGTCATGGCTGGAGGAGCCTCCCGAGTGGAGGCTTCCACTATGAAAACGCTGCTGACACCCGCGTTGCTGAGCTGCCAGGCAGGAAGAATGGGGCTCAGCCTTTCGTGACCGTGTTGGCTGCGCCGTGGGGACATCCTGTTTTCTTTAGTTCAGTGAGCAAGTCTAATCAAAAAACTTGTTAAGGAGAATGTGCTTGACTTAATAGCGGCTTGAAGCGTGGCCAGATTTTTCAAATAGCACTCTGGAGGAGGGAATTCTGAAGAGAAGTCATAGCATGTAGCCAGGAAAAAGACACAAAGGGAAATACTTAAAGAAATGTCTGAGAAGTACTTTATGTTGATCTGTGTGTGCTTTAAGCACCTCCCCCTCAGTCTGTGGTGTGCTATGGACATAACTGAGCTGTCATATTTAAAGATCACAACTTCACTATGAGATCTGTTAGGAAGGAAAGATGAGCCCACCCAGCAAGGTCCTGAGATACCACGGAAACTAGTGGTTAAAGAACGAGCAGCTTCAGAATTTAACACACATCCCCAGCTTTTGCAATAAACTCCATGGTTGTGTTGGCACTGAAGAGAGTCTTTATGGGGTTAAATGAGATGGCAGATTTTCACGAGAGATGTTTTTCCCTCTTCCTTCCTATTGTTTATTTTGGTTTGGCTGTAGTTTTGTGCCTCACATTGGTGGTGTTGTTTCAGGTTTCCGTTGTGAGCAGTGCAGAGAAGGAGCCACGTACTCGGGTGCAGTGATATCTCCCAACTTGGAAACCACTAAAATCATGCGAGTTCCCCACGCTGTGTCCGTGTCCGACTGTCTGGCAGCCTGTTGCGACCTCAGCGGTTGTGACTTGTCCTGGATGTTTGAACGGCGCTGTTACATTGTCAACTGTGAGTACAAGGAGAACTGTGAACCAAAGAAAATTGAGACGGTTAAGTCCTACATTACCTTTGTGCTGAGGCCCTCTCAGAGGCCGGCCTCGCTGCTGGGCTATGGGCAAGTGATCCCAAGCATGGGCCACGCTGTGGGACTCCAGAACGAGCCCTCTGAGGAGGTGAGTAGCCTGAAGGAGCTGTCGCTACTTGGGAAAGATCCCAGCCTTGAGGAGATCCCAGAGTACATAGATGATTACAAGGAGTTGGAGCAGGACCCCTTCCAGATGGGCATCAAACGTGAGCAGAAGGAGAGCGCAGATTATGCTGACTGGAGCTTGATGGTGACGGGTGAAAATGACTTCAACTCCTCCGTGGGTGACGATGGAGATAACCAGGAAGACTTGGCAGAAAAGGAGGGGGAAGCTGTGATGGCAGAAAACGTCCTGAGTCAAAACAGTTCTGAACTGAGCCCTGCCACTGAGCACTCCCTGGAGAGGTTGTTGCCTATCCCAGAGATCACACCGTTCCCAGTGAAGACACTGGAAAGTGAAACAGCTGCTCAGCTGCTTGCACAGCCTGAGGATGCTTTGCAAGAAGAGGTACGTGAGCCCCTCAGCACCCAGGGAGTGGCTACCCAGTAGTATGTTGTGTTTGTCAGACCAAGCAAGGTTATGGATTTGAAACGTAGCCCTGGGGAACTCTAGCACAGTCTTGCAGTCCTGCTTGTGGGACTGCCCCTGCACAGAAAAGGCTGAAGTGGGGCATTTTGTCTTGCTGGAAAAGCAGCTGAATCGCTGAAGGACACTGTCTATCAGATGTTACAGAGCAGAGCTCTTTCTAGGAAACTTCAGGGCTTCCTTTGAAATTTTAGATGTGTGGGCTTGGATCAGGTGTACTAGCAGTCTGGTGGTGTTCTGACTTTCGTACCTCTGATCTTGCTGTGACTCAGGGGAAACAGTTAGCTGAGCAATGTCAGCGGCCCCTCTAGGGCCCCAGGGCCTAGGCCAGGAACCAGCAACCAGTTCAGTCACTTGGGTCTGAAGGGGGTCCAGCCCCTTCAGAGCAGGGAGACATGCCCAGGGAAGCTGAAACAAGCGATATAGCCAGCACCTATAGAGAGAGGTCTGGTGCTTTGGGTTTTTGATTTTGTGTGTGTGTGTGTGTGTGAGAGTTGTGAGTTTTGGGTTTGAGGTTTGTCTTTTGAAAACTGTATGTTCCTCCCTTGAGAGTGGCACTGCAGCATCAAAGATAAAGTGATTGCTCTGTGGAAGGGCTGTTTGTCTACAACAGGACAATAGGAAGGTCCTGTCCTTTAATAACTCGCTGTACGGGTCCACTCTTGTGTGTCATGTTTGCTTAATTTCACCCAGTTCCTGTGAGAATATTGTTGCATTGGATGAACTATGTTATGTTTTGAGAAGACTCAAATTATGTTTCCAAGATTATGCTATCTTGTACTTTTGATCATTTGTCTGTGTATATGATCAGCAGTGAGATGGATCTGGAACTAAATTGACCGGTTTTGTATGTACCTTTTTTTTTTTTCTAATGCTTTGGCCTTCAGTGGGAAGGAAGACTGGGAAATTTGTTGAAAGCTAAAAATAGTGTGATCTCGTTGAATGAATCATTATAGTACAGTCTTTGGGTATGGTTTGTAATTGAGTAGTTCCGATTTTGATAATGTTTATCTTGCAGGTTCCTGTGCCTTCCCCTCCTTCAGACAGCTTGGGATTCTCCTCAGCTGTAGGGCAGAAGATGCAGGCTTCCACAGAGACCCCAGGGAGTCTCCCCGAGGATGGGCCTGCACTGCTCCCCACTGGTATTTTGCTCTCTGAGCCCATACAGCAGTTCACACCTGCTGCTACTGTAGCTCAAGCAGGTAACGTTTCGCCACACCTGAGGATGTGAGGGGTTGTACAGAGGGTGGGGATGGCTTCACTGCTGTCAGACGTGCACCCTGTGGTTAGTAGTGACCCTTCTCTTGTATCCCCATCCAGCATCATCACAGATTGGCAACAGTCCTACAGTAATACTGCAAACTTCAAACCCCTTGTGCAGCTGCTTTTGAGGCAAGCCAGTGTCAGTGGGTAGTTATGTTCAGGTAAAGACAGCAAAGTAAAAAGCAGAGATTAAGAGGATTTTCTTAATGGGCTGATTTTTGCACTCGTTGAGAAATGCCTGAGGATTTTCTTGAGTTTGGATGCTTTCCTCTAGCCGTGCTAGCCACCACAGTGACTGTGGTGTGGCTCTTTAGAGCACTGCCCCCTCTCAGAAACTCTGCAGCAGGGTTCCCACTAAAGACAGAGGGGTCCTGGAGGAACCTAGAGGAGACTTTAAAGAATTATTAGCCCAGCACTTAACAGGAGAGAACATAGCTACTTCATCCTGAAGAGAACCCAGTGTTTTGCTGTAATTCCAAAGTTGCAAAGAGGGTTATGAGGCTTCCATCTGCAGAGGACAAGTTTTTATTTTAAAAAGACTACATTTCACTACTCTGTTCTCTGTAGCTGCGTAGGTTCTGTTTGTGTGTTGGTCAAGTTGCTTTCTCCTCTGCTAAGACTCTGTCCTCACATGCACCCTGACAAAGGACTAGAAGGACCAAAAGAACAGGGAGTCAAAGAAGTGTTTTGTGCCACTCCTGAAATACTGAGGTAGACAAGTTCTTTGCTTCTTGGTAGCACTAGTTTTGTTTGGGATGTTCCACGAGTCGTCTGTCAAACCAGAACCATTGGGAGGAGGCAGCTGTAGGTGAAGCTGCAGAAATTCCCTTTCTAAAGCAATGGTCATCATTGCTGTGTGTTGACTGGGCAGTTCCTTCATTTGCAGAGGCTGAGCAGGACTTGAAACTTGGAAGAAGAAGCTGAAGGAAAGGTGGTCATGCATCTCACCAATAAGCACCACTTGTGCAATGACCCCTCCTATCTCTGTTACAGACAGACTTGGAGTTTGCTCATCAACCTTGCCTGACCATTTTGTCCTTGTCCAACCTCTGTGGAGGTCAAGGGATTCTCCAAAGCATCAATCTCTGCCCCACTAGAGTCTAGACAGAGAAAAATCTGTAAGCAGCAATGGAGCTGTGGCTGCGTTTGGCTTTTTTTTAATTGTTATTTCTGTCATCACGGGGTAGTGAAAACATGCTGCCGGCTCTGCCTCTTCACTTCATCCATTTCCACATGTGTCAAGTGCTCCTGCTGCGTAGTCCCTTGCTCAACTGTTCAAGGTTTACGAGTTGAATGTTTACAAGTTGAATGTTGGTAAACACGGCCTTTGAAGAGTCTTTATTTTGCAGGTTGCCAATATTAAGGCATTTAAAGGCTTTTGAAAATAGGTTGATGTGTAGCCTGCCTTGAGTTGCACTGTGGTGTGTTTCTGTTGGGGCCTGGGTTTGTGAACATGGCATCTTCCAAAGAGAAAAGCCCTTTCCCTGGCAAGGCCTGGGAGGGTGCTCCTGGGTGCCAAAAGGGTTGAATTTGTAGCAGTTTAGCTGCAAAATAACTTTAGTTTGCTAATCCAGTGGAATTTCTAAAAGGTGGCACTATGAATAAGGCTTTCAGCTGTGCTTGCTAGAGTACTGAACAACCGCAGAAATAGCGTTGCTTGGTGAAAGAAAGCAGGATACCAGGGATTTAGTGTGAACTATCTTACTTTATTTGATGAAGTTTTATTGTTGTGGTGTTGTGGGTTTGGGTTCTTTTTTTCCTCTCCTTTGGAGGGTCTCCAAAAGCAAAGCTATTGGAGAGGCTTTAATGGTTCTGCATTACCAGAATGGCTGGGCGTTGTTCGGCTGGCGACAACTTGGGAACACACAAGGCTACGTTTAGAAATGTGCTGTTGAGCCCGGCAGCCCCTCTTGGCTTTGGGAAGAGTGGCTGGGCAGGTGTGATGTGAGGAGAGGCTCCGTGCGGAGAGGCAGAGTGTCCTGGCAGGTGCTGTGGCAGCGCTGACTGCTCTGGCAGAAAGGATCTGTTGCAGCCCCTGCATCTGGGTGCTTGGCCACCAGCAGGGCCACAGGCACTGGCTGTGCCACCGTCCTGCCCCGCTGTTCTGGTGGAGAGTGGGCAGGTAGCTTCTTATGGCCACAGACTGAAGCACCAAAGTTCCACAGGAACTTAAGAAAAAATTTCTTGACAGGGATGGTGCCAGAGCCCTGGCACAGGCTGCCCAGGGAGGCTGTGGAGTCTCCTTCTCTGGGGATCTTCCAAACCTGCCTGGCTGCCACCCTGTGCCCCGTGCTGTGGGTGACCCTGTGTGTGCAGGAAGGTTGGGCTAGATGATCTCTAGAGGTCCCTTCCAACCGTAAAGATTCTGTGATTCTTGGCTTTTCGTTCCCAGCAGTGGTCTAGTACCAAGATAGGGCCTCTCGAGCTGTGTAGAATTCAAGGGCTTTGAGGTATCCAGGGTAAATGAGATGAGTTTGCCATTCCTCAAGTTCCACTCTGTGTGCCCACTTAAAGCACTCATTTTGATATCCCACATGCCCTCTATAACTGCATATTTTTGAACTCCCGTGCTTCCATCCAGTTAGTAGGAAAATAAGTAATTCTTTAAGAAAAACAAAACATGATGTGAAGGACAAATTCAAAATATTATTTCACTAACAGAAGTATGTAAATGTCACATTCCCTTTTGGGTAGGGAGAACAATTCTCTGGAACAGTTTGATGAGAAGTCCATAGTCATGACTATCATAGATTATTATTTGATTATTTATTGAGAAAAATTTGCTATTTTTGTTATTTATCTTTGACAAATGTGCTTCTGTGCTTAATATAAATTGTATTTGAAGTTGAGAAATACCTATCATCCCATCCTTTAAAACATAATGTATTCATTCTGTCATAGATGCAGTAAAAGAGCTTATTGTGTCTGCTGGAGATAACGTAGAGGTGACGCTCCCCAAAAATGAGGTTGAACTGAACGCCTTTGTTGTCCCTCCACCAGCTACAGGTGAGCAGAATGGCCTTTGCACCCGAGAAGATTTGCACTACCCACCTGTAAGTGCAGATGAGTCCTGAGTTATGTGGGCAGCTGCACCTTGGCATCCAACTGTTTGTCTTTTCTCCTCGTCCTGCTACTTTCCATTTATTTATTTGTGGATCCAACTGCAGAGAGCATTTTATTACTTTAATTTTAGAGATTTTGATGTGTCTTATATTCAGGACCTAGATTAATTAGCCAGATCACACCTTAGGAATTTGCACCAAGAAATGAAGTTTATAGTATTGTGATGGTTGGGTTGGGCAGGAAAGTAGATTCTGAACATATTTACTTTAAATCTACCAGTTCCTAAACTGCAAAGAAGAAATATTCTGTAGGTGGCTACACAGAGTGCATGCACTTGGTGTGGAGGTGTGTTTTGGTGAAGAAGTTGATTGCTTGTAAGGTCTGTTTCATCCTTGCTGTGTTGTGGAGCTCCAGCCCCTTGCAGGGGCTTTGGCGGGCCTTGGTACTGGTTGGTTTTGCAGGCTTAAACAGTTGCAGTCATGGTTTCTTACCACAGTGTTTTGCGTGACAGATGATGAAGCTGATTTCGATGTTTCCTGGACTTATCTGGAAAAGATTTAATTATTACTGTGCTGTGGTTCTGTTCCCAGAAACAGCCTACAGCTATGAGTGGAGCTTGATCAGTCACCCTGCTGACTACGGCGGTGAAATGGAGCGCAGGCACAGCCAGACCCTGAAGCTCTCTCACGTAAGTGAGCTGCAGCCTCCAGCTCCTCTTTGTGCAGCCTTTTCTCTGGAGCTTGTGACCCAGGGTGAAGTGCTGCTTCGTTTGTAGAGTTCTGATGGCTTTGCAAGCCATCTTTGCTTGCACCAACACTTTGCTAGATTAAAACGTCATCTTGAGAGTGTGCTGATAACTTTCTGAGACAAAATAGTTGTTCTTACGTGTTTCCTTTGAAATTCTCACCTTCAGGTAGTGACCAGTACCCTTTGTGTATGTTGGTATGTATGTTTATAAAGAGTTCTAGATGTTAGGTTTCTCTCTACTTGCAGTATGATTGGCACTTTGTGTGCACACTGCTGGTGCGTAGTTTGCTGTGTAACTGGATTTGTTCTGTTTGTATCGCAGTTAACAGTGGGACTTTATGCCTTCAAAGTGATGGTTTCTGGTGAAAATGCCTTTGGAGAAAGTTTTGTAAATGTCACAGTCAAACCAGGTAAACCAACTACTAAAATGATGAAACTCATTTATTCAACCCAAGTAGTCATTTGACTAGCTTATCTAAGAGTTTGGGACATCTGCTACCCAGTCATGCAGAGGTGGACTTCCTATTTTGCTTGCTGTCTTAAATGGATTTTAAGAAAGTGTAGTTCAGGATCCCTTGCTTTATTTAAATGTTTATTTAAATGTTCTGTAGCCTGTGCTCTCCTCAGGCAAGGCCTAAGATGCCTCATCCTACCATTAATGTTCTCCTTCTCCTATACGGCTGGATTAGCAACTAAGTGCAGAGCTGCAGCGTGCAGCGCACGCGTCTGCTCTGAGTTGCAGCGCGCTGTAAACCAGAGCACTGCTCCTCCCTACCCTTCTCTCCCCCTTATCCAGAGGTGGCCGCAGACCCTGCAGAGCTGCCTCTCCTCGGGCTCGGTCGCTGGGACTGTTGGTCAGCAGAGGTAGCAGAGTTAGGTGCCCGTGTTGCCTGGGTCTTCCCTAAATGCTCTTCTCTCTTCCTGTCTTCCTCCCAGCGCTCAGAGTTAATCAGCCGCCTGTTGCCATTGCTTCACCCAAAGAGCAAGAAGTTTCTTTGCCTACAACTTCTACTTTCATTGATGGCAGTCGTATGTGCTGGACAACCCTTTGCTTATATCCTGTGTTTTTAATGTACAGTTGCATCACTGTTGTTTGGCAGGAGCAAATGCAATTCCTTGCTCTGCTTACAAAAGTTCTCAGAACCGTGATTTATGTTGGGAGTTTGACTCCCCTTATAAATTTAAAAGTTAATCAGATGGCGTGTTTGTAAGGCATGAGGTTGAGGGAAATTGCTTCTGGAATTAGTTGTGATTTAAGTTTTGTTGTGTCTCCTATTCTTTTCATCTGCAGTAAGCTTGATTGCTCGACTTTTACATGTTAAAATGTGTGAGACTATAGTGGAAAAATGGAGCTGTCCACTGGGAGGCTGCTACAAAGCACAGCTTAAGCTGACAGCCTCTTCCTGCTCTGCCCAGAATCCCCATGACAGCCTCTGTGCCAGGGCATGGGGGGGACATTGCAGAGCTCCCCCTGTCACATAGGGTAGGATGAGACATCACGTTCATGACTGCTCCAGAGTGGACTCAGGTTTCCCCAGGGTTTGTTCTGCTGTGTGATTTGAAGTTGAGCAAAGGCAGGCTTACACTTCCATATTTATGGAGAGCAAACAAGTGCCAGGGTTCTGCCTTTATACATAAAAAGACAGAAACACAAGGAGGCTGAGATTCTCTGTGTGTGTGTGCATGTGTATTTTTTTGATTGTTTTTGAGAAATCCAAATGTAACTCAGGATCTCTGATTTAATAGCTCTGGTACATGAATCCTGCTCAAATTTGCACAAGAATTTGCTTAGAAAGATTAATTGTAGAAAAAAAATATGTATCAGCCACAATGTTCTGATTTTTTTTTATCTCTTTAATGAATGTAGAAAGCCTTGATGATATGAAGATAGTGAGTTACCACTGGGAGGAAATTAAAGGTCCTTTGCGAGAAGAGAAGGCGTCTGCTGACACTCCTGTCTTGCACCTGTCAAACTTGGTTCCTGGCAACTACACTTTCAGGTGTCTGCACCGCTTCTTTCCTTCTGGGGATTTAAGCATTTCTCTGATTCCAGCTAGATGTTTGCTTCTCTTTGTTTGAGCTCACGTTTATCTCTTCAAACAAAGAATTTCATTTTTCTTCTACGTGCTTTTCCCCTTCATTTTGCACAGTGAGAAACCATAGGGAGCAGTCTTGCCCAGAAGCTCTTGCAGTGATTTTGGCACTGGTATCGCGATGCTCTGCAAGGGTGCTGTGCACAGGGTTATGCAAAACGAGGCGTTAGAAATTCAGCACCTCCCATTTCCCAAGATAATAACTGGGAGGGAGCATTTTCATTTTGATCTTTTTGGCAGCCTGGTGGCTGGCAGGCGCCCCTGGTTGATGGGAGGCCGTGAGCCAAGTTTGGGGGCAGACTGGGCCAACCTCCGCCAAGCTCTGTGGTGTGCTGATTTTACAAGAATCATTGTCTTTATCATAAAAGTCTCTTCACTGGCTACAGTTTCCCTCCAATTATGTCTTGCTGAAGCTGGGTCTTATCCAGACAGCAGAAGCAATTTCTGTGGTTCTTGGTGCTTGGATTCAAATGATTGATTTTCTGGACTTTTGGGATTCCAAGCTGGTCCTGGCCTTGTTGGCAGTGCAGACTTGCGCTGCCCTGGTGGGGAGCAGCCTGCCAGCCAGCACAGCCTGTGTAAGGGTAGAATCAGCAGGGTGTGGGCGTCTGTGGATGGCCAGGGAACATCTCTGTTAACTGGTGATGCTTTGGATAAGCTTCACAAAAAATTGCACTGCTCCAGTTTCTATTCTCTGTTCTTTACTGGAGTTGCTCCATGTTATGCAGTGGCAGGAAAAGGGCAGCAATTTTTCTGTGTCAGAAAGGACAGAATACTCTTATAAGCAGGGAAATTAAGAACACACTTAAACAGTATGGTATTAAAAAGTCATTTCTTATATCCATGCACGTCTGGGATAAGTTGAGCAGTAGAGTAGCCTGGGGAAGCTCTTAGGAGATTTGCTGGCATGCAGAATCCAGTGACTTCCATGGCTTCACACATGTGCTTTCCTAATAACAGTTAATGAAGCTTTCCCTAGCTGGGAGTAAAAGCAGGTCCTGTTGAACACCCGTTTGTGTGCTCAACTGTAGGCAGCAGTGACAAGGGAGGTGAAATACAACTGCAGCCAGTCACCACTCAGCGAGAGGAGGAGACCTTGCCTGGCTTTCAGATGTCTGCAGCAGTTTAAGATAATTTGTCATTGCGTTTCTGAGAGGTGACAGAATTTAATTAAATATTTAATTAAACTCAGAGCTTTCATTTACTTTTGTGACTTGACACCATCTTCAAAAAATCTGGGCTGATACTAAGCTTCATTAAATAAGTAGTAGTATGCCACAAAGGAATACAAGTTGTGAACTGCTAGTGGGCTGTCGAGCAGAGCTCCTGAATGTTTGGAGTGGTTCTGGATGAGGCAGTACCAGCATTTTTTCTGCTATAGCTGTTGTTTGAAGTCCCTTGCTCTTTACTGAGTAACATTAAAAAAAAAAAAAAAAATCCAGTGAAATCTTGGTTTTGATTGAAGTCAGTGATAACTTCAGTTTCAGGAAGTAGTTTTCATGCAGGATCCAGAATAGATGGTTTTCTTTTTAACGATCGAAAGCTGTGATTGGAATTAACATTCTTTGAATTTCTTTCCTACCTTAGTTCAGGGCAATGTGTTTCTAAAGCAGAAGTTAGTATGATCCAGATGAGTGGCTTTGGTTTAGGTAGTATTTTTCTCTCTGTTCTAATGCTAGAGAAATGTGAACCTTTGAATTCAGCGCCTGCTCCAGCCTGACAGGTTTTCATCATCCTTTTCCCCTCTGCAGACTCACAGTGATCGATTCAGATGGAGCCACCAACTCCACCGTGGCCTCTCTGACCGTCAGCAAGCCGGTGGATTATCCCCCTGTAGCCAATGCGGGACCCAATCAGGCCGTCACCCTGCCCCAAAACTCCATCACCTTGAATGGAAACCAGAGCAGCGATGATCATGAAATTGTCAGCTATGAATGGTCACTCAGTCCCAAAAGCAAAGGCAAAGTTGTAGCAATGCAGGTAAGCATATTTTTTCTTGCATAACGTTATAAACTCACATATCCTAGCCTCTAAAAAGAGCAAACACATCCAAGGAACTGCTTAGAGCACTGAAGCATCTGTAGTTATGTTACTCTCTTTGTTCTTCTCTGGTGTTGGTGTTTTCAGATACAACTTTAATTCCTTCTCATTGTTTTTACACTGGAGGAGTAAGGAGTTTCCTCAGTGAATTTTTCCCTTAATTTTTAAGGTTGCATTCCCTCCCCGTGAGCTCAGTTCAGCAAGGGTTGTCAGTGACCTTTTGCACTCGGGAAGTTGCAGATTCTCGTAGCTCTGCAGGTAGATGGGAATGGTGCAGGGTTATCCCTTCTCAGGAAATGTGAGCTCTTCTGTGCTGAAAATGCAAGTATTTAAAGACTTCTTCAAAACTGACAAGTCACTTTGTGTAGCTCAGTTTAGAAACTGAGCTAAACTGATGCGAGACTCTACTGTAGAGCTAATTATTAAAATATGACAGTGCTTATAGCATAGTAGCTTATTTCTGTCCATTTATCAACTGGAGCACTTTCCTAAAGAACCCTTGCAGCCTGAAGTTTTAGCTTCTGAAAGCAGTTCAGGCCTGAAGTGCCTATTCTGCAAGAAAGGGATAACTACTGGGGATATATAAAGGACTGATTGGGTGTTTAATGGTGAGATCCAAGAGCATTTTAATTTTTTTTTTTCTGCTTCTCCCACCAAAGATGAAGTAGTTCTTTTCATGTCCCTAAAGTTGAAGTAAATGTTATCTGAACTGTGACATGGAATTAGTCCACAAGGTAATAAATACCTGTGGTTAGTTAATCTTGTGCTTTAGTGCTCATTGTCTTTATCCAGAAAGATACATTTAGTTATATCATGGTTTGTTATTGCTCATTTGAAGTATGTCATTTTTCCTATTCCTATTCCTATTGCTCTGAGTGAAATGAGAAGGAGAACATTCTCATAGAATCATAGAACATAGAACATTCTCTAAGTTTAAACTCTGTTCTCGCAATAGTATTGCTAAAAGACTATTCTCAGCACCACAACTTTGTCCTGTTTAATGCTTTTTTTTAATGCTTTTAAGCCTATTTGCCTGTTGTAAATAGTCACGCTTGTGTTTGTGTTTAACGTTTAATAGCTTTTTATCATGAAATTTTATGTTAAAATTTATACTGTTTAAAGCAAAAAGAGACGATAAAAATAATCTCTAAGGGAGTTGAGTGAGCTGTAGTACTATTCACCAGAGTTTAACTTGCTAACTGAGAAATGCCGTGCGTGTTTCACGGACAGCTACTGACACAGCAGCTACAGCAACATAAAAAATAATGACTGTCTATAAATAAAACACCTCCCTGGGTTATTATAGACAGTTGCAACACTAGATACGTGGTGTCCACGTGTGCATCGCGTTTCGAACCGCGGTGTCGCCTGCGCAGGCCCCGCTCGGGAGGAAGGGGCCCGAGCGGGTGCCGCCGGCGCGGGCGCCGCGGCCCTCACGCGCTGCTCTGCCCTGTCTCCCGTGCAGGGCGTGCGGACGCCCTACCTGCAGCTCTCGGCCATGCGGGAGGGTGACTACACCTTCCAGCTGACGGTGACGGACTCGGCGCGGCAGCGCGCCACGGCCGAGGTGACGCTCATCGTGCGGCCCGGTGAGTGCCCTGCGGCCGGCCCCGCTCCCGCGCGGCTCCGCTTCGCAGCCAGAGGCGCCGCTCCGAGCAGGGCATCCTGCGGAGCCCCTCCGGCAGAGCCGCCGCTTGGCACCTGCATCTCTGCTTTGCCCCGTCTTAGTGCTTTGTGGTTCTTCTGTGGTTGGGATTCTCACTAGAAATGCACTAATGCCTCTTTTAGGGGAAAAATGGCCCAGCAAGGCATTTGCAAAGGCTGCTTCTTTCACACGGCTATCTCAGTTTGGGGTCTGAGTGGTAAGAACCCAAATGGTTCAGGCCTCATCAGATTTTTTTCATACCGTATTTGGATATTACATTACACCTATTACCTATTATCATTACCTATTACACATCGTTGCATCTGAGGTAGCTGTTATGCCCATATGTAAAGGTCTCCAACTCTACCTTGGGACAATGCTGCTGCTTCCTACTGTTGCTTGTTACTCAGCTTTTGTAGCTGATGTTTTCTGGGGAAGCTTCACAGTGGGCAGAAATCAGGAACAGGAGCTGCAGGTGGAGCTGGGGTGCTGCCTTTCGCACTGATGATAACAGGGCTCTGCAAAGGTTGTGCTCTTGCTGTCCTTTTTAAGGAGACATAAATACCCAGGGTAATGGTAGCCTTGCCTGCTTTAGGAAGCCACAATAGCAAAGATTGAAAGCAGAAAAAACAGTTATATATTTCTGCACTAAATCCTCGAAATTGGCATCAACTTAGTGCTGATACTCTGACCTCAAGTAGCCAAAAAACTTTGGACCGTCCTTTATAAAAGGGGATGCAGTGGCGGAACCAGAGGAATCTCCCTTTGCTGTAACTGTAAAATATTTGACATGATGCCCTGAGCATGCTGCCAAAGTCTTGAATTGTGGCTGTGAAAATGCTGTGGAATTATGGCTTATTGTGGGTTTTTTACAGAGTTGCCTGGTAGTTTGTTGCTTTATTTTTTCTCATTTGTGCATATGCTGTACTTGAAATTTATGCCTTTGAGGCAGTAGGTCAGGCCTGTAATCTAACATTCTGTGCTTGCTAATGTCTTCCTGATTGGCAGTCCTTTGCAAGCGATTGGCTGGTAAATGTCATACTTTTAAATACTGTTTTTACAGAAAATAACAGTCCTCCAATAGCAGTGGCTGGTCCTGATAAGGAATTGACCTTTCCAGTGGAAAGTACTACCCTGGATGGAAGCAGAAGCCAAGATGACCAAGGCATTGTCTTCTATCACTGGGAAAATATCAGGTATAAGAGGAGTTTTACTACTGTTAAAAAAGGGAACCGAGTTCAAGTGCTTCGCTTCAGAGCTGCTGGCCTGTGTTGGATGGTGCAGTGTTTGTGAGCTGCTCTGAGTCCTCTCTTTCTGTGCTGGCAGCAGGGATGGAGAGCAAAGTCAGCCTGAAGATTTGAAGCAGGGTGGGTGCTGACTGAAACCCCTCCTCCTGCTTTGAGCCAAATGTTGGCAATTTTCCATGTGCTAACAAATGGGAGTTTCACAGAGTAGCATCCTTGTATGCAGGCAGCAAGGGGAGGTCACTGTGTGACGCTTTCCTGTTGCACCTCCATGCCCTCCGTAAGGGTTTGGAGAAACAAACGTGTGGGGCTTCCTGGGTGCTCTCGGAATGGCTCGTGGATGTCACTGAGCAAATGTAACCTGTGATGCAAGATGGGAATTCTGCCTTCAATCTGGAAGGCTTGGAAGATTTCTATTTAGGCCTTGCATTGTGTCATGTTGAGGCAGACTGTTAGGAAAATATTGTGTGAGGAAATGACAGGATTTGCATATCTCACACTGGAATATCTTGCATATCTCACACTGGAAAACATAAATAACAGGCTTGGGTGCTCTCCTGTAATGCATGAAGTTCTCCCACCAGTGTTTAGAACTTGGCCTTCTCGGTCACTTTTACTTATTGAATAATAAAGGAAATTCCTGATCCGTTTAGCCTAAGCCTCAGTGGGATTGTAAACTGGACTGGTTTTAAATTGAAACAGTTGAGGACTTAAAGTTCCCCTGAACGCTGATTGAAAATGCTTTACAAGTGCTTGTAATGGTTCATTTGCAGGCACAAACTAACTGATCCTTAATGAAAGAAGAGGATATTAGCCCGAGGATCTGTCATATCAGTGCAGAGGAGGAGGTTTTGCTGGCGTCCTTGTTGCTCCAGGAGATGCCTGCAACACATGTTTGCATGTTCCGGAGGAGCAGCACAGCAAAGATGTGGCCCTCCTTGTGAGGGAGCAATTCCTGCCCTTTTAGTAACTGGATATGTGATGCTGGGAGGCTTTGAGTGTCTTAATTACCCTTGGAAAAGATGCAATTTTGAATTCTTTTGACTAAGAGATCGCTAAAACTGATGTCTTTGATAATTCCTTATCAGTGCTTATAGTTAGTGGGTAGAATCTTGATAGCCATAAAAGCAGATGGTAGGAGTGATGCTGCTGAGGGAGGTGTTAGCCTGGTTGGCTGTGATCATTTTTCCTGACATGTTTTGTTGCAGTGGGCCGAGCTCGATACGGATGGAAAACGGTGACAAAGCAGTAGCAACAGTGACTGGTCTTCAGGTTGGTACCTATCGCTTCAGGCTGACGGTGAAAGATCAGCAGGGATTAAGCAGTGCCTCAGTGCTCTCTGTTACTGTCAAGGAAGGTAAGGCTGGTTGCTGCTACGTAGCATGGGTTGGGCAACTTGCCAGTTAACTCGGTCACTGACAAAATGCAGGGAAAACCAGAAGAGAAACAGCAAAGAAATTGTTGTCATGTTCCAAAGAGGTTAAAGAAGAGCTACTGCTGCTCTGAATACTGAGTTGTTACGAATGCTTCATATACTGAAGAATTATGAGTGGCAGTGATAGGATTACTTCACTTACTGCAATATTTTCCAAGTTAAAATTATCCAATATTAGCTGTAATAAAATACTCCAAAGCATTTTTTTTGACTCTGGCATGTTTTCTTCATTAATAAGATGTATTTCAATTTTATTTTAAAAATGAAGCTTTGAGCAATAAAGCAATTTTACTGTAATGTCCAAGACATGAAGGCTCAACAGTTCTGACTTATAAATGTAACACAAGTACAGGTTTTAATGCTGCTTGACTTGGATACCAAGAAGCAGGTTTGTTTTACCTGTGTGCAGTAGGAGATGCTGTAGAGTGACAGTGCTGATGGTGCAGGATTCTGCTGCTGATCCTGTCAGGAGTGTCTCCTGATGGAGATTTCATAGCTTTTGACCTATGTTTACTGTGAAGCTTGTAGGGGATGCTAATCCAACACCATTGATATGATGATACTAGAGCTGCCCCAGAATCCTAACCGCTGCCTGTCTTGGAAAAAAATGCACCTTTGTTTCTAGAGAGAGAAACTTCAGAGTGAATGGGCCTCGGTGAAGGAGCTGGGCTTCATTTTGCCCATGTATGTTGTTGGTTGATGTATTCAGTTTGCTCCCTCTCTGGTCAGAAACACGCAGCAACAGCTCTGCCCCGGAGTCTCTCATGGCTCTGTTTGGGCTGTGGAGTGTAGCCACAGTGCATATGTTTTGGTTACAGTCACAGGCTCAACATTAAAATTACTCAGTGCTCCAGTAGCAAAGTTTAATCAGCTGGCTCGCTGGATAAGGACAAGGGGATTGCTTATCTCCTCAAGCAATCTGTTCTTTTCTGGAGCACAAGAGTTGCAGCCAACGCAGCACACTGGAGACCCTCCCAGTGGGGCAATTTGCAGAATGATTTATGTGCTACCAGCCATACAGACCAGTGAGCTGTTTCATTCAGCATCGCTGCTGCCTGGAGCTCTGTCTTTGCACTTATTTTCTAACGAAAGCCAGTGGTGATGTCGGATCTTGGCGCACAGGTTTATTGAAAAATACATTTTTTGTGTTTTTTCAGCATTTCTTGGCCTGCACTTCTAATGCATGCTGTAATTTCACCGCTAATGGTGAGCGAAAGCATTTGGGGACTGTATTTACTCACTGTTTCCTTAATGCACTTGACTTAAATACAAGCATTATGAAAATTTAAGACCTTACACGAGCTATATTAGGTAGTGAGTACCAGCCCTGAAGGAGGGGAGAGCCCCATGTCGTGGTCTCATCCCAGGCAGTGTTTGTGAGGCAAGTGGAAAGTCTTTTAGATTAACTGAGAAAATCTGATCCAGAAATGACTGCAAGACTGTAAATAGAGCACCCCACAATGCTTTTTGTACCAGCTCTTTCTGGATAGTCCCTCTTACTGATATTCTTCTCATGGTTCAAATTGGCAATGCCCACACATCCTTTCCCAGTACGTTTGACATGAGGTTCTTGTGTTAAAGTCTTGTGTGTGGTGGTTGGGTAGAAAATTGCACTTAGATTTATAATGTGGCCAGACTATATGGGTATATCAGCAAGGGCATGTCACATCTCACATGTTTTGAAAGCAAATCCTTCTCCTCCACTGTTTTCATGGCTAGAAACCAACAGTCCACCTCGGGCGCATGCTGGTGGAAAGCATGTTCTGGTGCTCCCCAATAACTCTGTTACCTTGGATGGCTCAAGGTCTGCTGATGACCAGGGGATTGTGTCATACCTGTGGATTCGGGATGGTCAGAGCCCGGCAGCTGGGGTAAGTTTCTTAAAGGCTTCAGCTGGAGCCAAATTCAGCTCTTCTCATGCACGTAGCTTCACTGCAGCAGGGCCAGCAGGTCGGTTCTGGTTTGTCTCTCACAGGTTTCTCCAGTGTTTTTGCTGAAGGAGCTTGTGGTGCTTTAAGTGCAACTACGGAATATGTTTTAGGCAGGAGGGCTGCAGCAATCTGGTCTTAGCTGGGGAATTCTTGGAAGAGAAGAATTTGAAGATGTAGCCTTCCAAAAGTCATTAGCAATAGTACAAGCTAATGTGTTTGAGAAGATACCTGAAATCCAAGTGCCCAAAGGATGAAGTTGCTGACAAAGCAATAAGTGTTCATAAAGACTGTCTTCATAATAATGTCAGGTACCAGATGAGGCAAAGCTTGGAGCGTGTTAGGATGATAAAAATGGTGTTTGCTGCTCGATATCTTGCCCTGCAAAACGCAGAATAGTCTGGCCTATTAGGGCAGCAGGGAGTTGGCCCTCTGGGAGTGAGCAGAGCCCTGAATTACCCCAGGGAAAAGTGAGTTTTATGTCAGTAACGAGCATTGGGATAACTGTGCTCACCCCTCGCTGTTGCTGGCTGCTCTTCATGGTCAGAAACACGGCAGCGAGTTGGCCAGAACCAAGAGAAGAGAAAGAGCCAACGCTAACAGGGCTCCCAGAAGCGACTTCCATGGGGGTGTGAAAAGGCCTGAAGAGGCTTAGCTTAACCATAGCTGGTAGCGAGGATAGCTGGAAATAAACCCAAGGAAGAGAAACTATTTAGGATGTAAGAAAGCAGAACTGAGGAGACTGGAGTAAAATGGAGAAGTAAAAACCTGGCTATAGCTTGGGTGTTTCAAGCAGATGAGTACTTGTAAGTGCCAGCTGTTTTGTCTGGAGCTTTTTTTATGGAATGCATCTGCAGGGTGCACACATCCTCATTAACTCCCATTTCTGTGTTTGTGTTGCTTGGTTGTAGACTGTGGGTGAGGGCTTATTGGGGGGTGCCATTCTTCATGTCGGTCCCCAAAGCCAAAGCAAGGAGTCGTGCCAGGGAGCTGACTTGACAGTCCCACCTGCAGCTGTAGCTGGTGGTGTAACCGTCAGCTGGTGCCTGGTTTTGCAGGAGGTGCTACATGGCTCAGACCACGAGGCAGTCCTGCAGCTCACCAACCTGGTGGAAGGAACCTACACGTTTCACTTGAAAGTGACAGATGCCAAAGGAGATTCGGATATTGACACTGCTACTGTTGAAGTGCGGCCTGGTATGACAATTAAAAGGTCATCTACAAGTTGCAAATACCTCATCTTTGTTCTCCTTTTAATTTACGTGTATGTTTTGGTGTTGATAACGTCCTGCCAGGTTAAAAGAGAAAACAGCTGGCATTCTTTCTCCTCCTACCTCAGTGATGGTATTCCTGATAAGCCTGAGCGTGTAGAACCAGCTGTGCTGGGATTCTGCCCTCCCACCAGTTACAACCATTGCGTTGTTGGAAGTGCAGTTATTTGAAAATCATGTTTCCTAGTTAATATTATCAGTTAGTTTTTTTCTTTATTCCTTGTTGTGGTCTGTTTCTTCTTTTTTTCGACCCTACATAGGGTAATTGGGTCAGGCTGTCGTTGTATATCTGTGAAGATTGTTTTGTTTGTAAACTACTCTAGAAGTGCAAGTATTATTATTGAAGGCAATCTCCCATTTTTGAGGATAAACGTATTTGATGTTTTTCAGACCATCTACCCACGTTTGTATTCCTTCACACAGTTGCATGGCACCTCATGGGATTAGATGGCAGAAAGTCAAGATTTGGGCTCACCAAAATGCTCCAGCCTTTGTATGGCAGCATTTGAGGGAACTGATGTTGCCCTTCTGTGTAAATACCTGATAACAGCATGAAGTGAAAACATTGAAAGCATTTTTGTTTTTGAGCTGTTAACATAGCAAAACAGTCTTTAGGAACTACCAAGCTTGTTTCAGAGGGAATGTGGGAATATAGGCTGAGCACTTCGTTTTCGAAGAGCACAGAAGGGTTTGAGGATGAGAGTTATGGGTCCTGTGCAGGTCCTGCGCAGTTTCAGTAGACAGTTTGAGTGCTGCATGTTGTCTTCAGCCAGTTCTGGACGATTTGCCAGGCCCTGAAAGCGCAGCATACTCTTCCCTTGTCAGATCCCAAGAGAAGTGGCCTGGTGGAGCTGATTCTGCAAGTCGGAGTGGGGCAGCTGAGTGAGCAGCAGAAGGACACGCTGGTGAGGCAGCTGGCCGTCCTGCTCAATGTCTTGGATTCAGACATCAAAGTTCAGAAGATCCAAGCCTACTCGGATATAAGGTACAGAAATGCCCTGCTGTGCCAGCAAGACTTGTGGTTTTCTCTTACTATTCCACAGCTCACAATTAGTTGCAAAGTCTTGTGCAAGATACTAGAATTGTTGTTGCAGCTTTAAGAGTTGAATTTCTTCTGCAGCTGTGGGAAACTGAATTAAGCTTTCTGGGACATGGAGCTGATTTTATTTTTTTTATTTAAAAAAAAAAAAAAAAGAAAAATCCACTATTTTTTTTTCTCGAAAGGAAGTGATTGTATTTATTTCAATGTCTTTGTTCCATATACTGTTCTTCCCAAAGGCAAGCTGGAACGAGACAGATGGCCTTTCTCAAAGTGAAACAAGTATTATATTTCAAAATAAGGTTCCAGTTGTAGCTGATTAAATTAAATCTGATTGTTTAATTCCCATTTTGTTTTTCCTCCCTAAGGTTTCAATATTTTAAGTACACTATATGTGCCTTTTTTTTTAATCAACTAGGTAAATGAGGGCAAGAAGACAAGCTGCTGCTGCTGCTGATTATTATTATTATTTTGTAGAGAGTTACTTGTGTTTAAGTGACAGACTTGCACTAGCAGGCTGTACACAGACAGGGAGATTTCGTGGCGTGATTGATGGAACCTGTTGACCTGAGTTACCTTTCAATTACTTCATGTTAATAGATTGCTAGTTTAAAAACCATTTTGGTGGCTATTCAGGTCTCCAGACACCTCCTGAAATTCAAAAATAATGAGTAATTTAGAAGGTCTAGTGTTCATAGTTGTGATATTTTTAATCACAGCTTCCAATTACTGTTTTTTCAGTTTAAAAATGTTCCCTCAGGTATAACACAGAATGAGATTAACACTACTCAACATAACCTCTCACGTGAACTTCTTTCTGCTTCCTTTGCTTTTTGATCTTTTCCTCTTCTTAAATTCAGTTTTCTAAGCTTACTCCTCCTGCTTCAGAGTGCCTCGTGCCAGGTCCTGGCTGCCTGTAGGGAGAGCAAGTATTGCACGTGTGCTTGTCTTACTGGAGTCAGGAAGGTCGTGGAGGGAATTACGCTCCCTGTTCTCTTCACCTTTTTTTCTGTGAAACTGAGGTTTCTGGCTCAGACTGAGGTGCTGTGGCTTTCACATAGGGAACCTTGTCCCTGAATTGGGCAAATCTATCCGTAGCAACAGCGACATTCCCTTTCCAGAAACAAGCAAAGCAAAGGCTGTAGTCTGAATGCCTGGCACAACCAACCCGTGACAACAGCGCTCCTGATCTTTGCTGTCCTCTCTGCAGCACGGCCGTGGTTTTCTACGTGCAGAATGGGCATCCTTCCAAGGTGATCAAGGCTTCTGACGTCTCCCGGGCTCTGCACGTGCAGCTTTCGAAAGAGAAGGCCGACTTTCTGCTTTTCAAAGTGCTGCGGGTTGACACAGCTGGTATGTTGTGCATGGGGCTTCCTCCTCGTTGATCCTTGCAAGCAGTGGGGTCACACAGCAGCGCAGAAAAAGGCTCTGCCACCTGGTGTCTCTCTGTGCTTGGGGACATCTCTCTGAAAGATGGACAGTGCTTAAAATCCCTGTGCCTGAGCTGATGCCAGTTGCTTGTGTTCTTTTAAAAGATGTGCTCTTGCAGATGAAGGATTATCTGACACAGAATCACAGGACATCCTCGACAGGATGGTCGAGGTTGTAATGAACCCCTAGAGATCATCTAGTCCAACCCCCCCGCTCCAGAAGGACACCCAGAGCACGGGGCACAGGATGGCGTCCAGGCAGGTTTGGAAGACCTCCAAAGAAGGAGACTCCACAGCCTCCCTGGTTGAAGTTATATTTCTAAATTTTCTTTATAATGAGCATTTTCTTTTGCGGTTATTTTTTAACAAGGCTGTTTGGACTCCTCAGACTAGCCTTACATTAAGCCGAATCAATATCATGAACACTCTAATATCAGATATTAAATATGACTTCATCATTGTTTGAAATCAGGAGATGATGATCCAAATGCTAAGAGATTGAATGAGCTCTACCACTAAAATAGTCATCAGCCTTCTGTAGCAGATCCTGATAATGTCCGCTCTGTTGTGCATGTGCCCTTACCAAAATTTGCCTCACTGTTTTTCTTGATGTTGTAAATTGTCTACCATAAGTTTTAAGAAGAATACATTTTTATTTTATAAGGCCCCGTTAATCCAACAACAGCTACTGTTATTTTTGTTTAGAAAATGTAAATGCTTCTGTCTTACCTACTGTAATTTGATTTTGAAATATTGCATACAATTTTGCAACCTTTTTAGTTATTGGTGTGAAGCTTGTTGTGATATAACCTGAGAACCTTCATAATCCTTGGTTCTGAGGTACTTTAGAAGTTTTTACAAATACATCAAAAAGAAAGGAGCAGGCCTGAGCTCTGTAGCTCCCATTTATCTTCACTTGGGCCAAAATATGTTCTTCTTAATTGACTTACAAATTCAGTGTTATTGCATGTTGTACAAGATACTTTACAGACAAGATACTTTACAGACAAGAGTGGGTTGAACTGTAGATCATTTCAAAACTGAACTGCAAAGGAAAGGGGAATTAATAATAAATAAGATGTTAAACTAGATGCTCTGGCACCAAGCTGATCCCACGAGAGGAGGATGTGTGACAAGTTGTCCATTTACACAACTGACCTGTGCGCGTTTTGTTCTTAGCCTGTCTTTTAAAATGCTCTGGGCATGGACACTGTGACCCCATAACGAAGCGTTGCATTTGCTACCAGCTGTGGATGGAAAATGTGATTCACAGTTACCTAAATGATGGAGAGAGCAATTGTGGTGAGTTTGGAAAGCGTTGTTGGGATGCTGTATGTTTTTTTTGTGAGTCTGTCCACTATTTCCTATTAGAATGGGGTATTTAGGAGGTAGATGCAGAGAGACCGGCAACATCTTTCTGTACAAAAGTTGAATAACATCTTGAAATTATCAAGTCTTTAAAATAGCCCTGTTCTAAAATGTTAAATATTTTTAAAGTTTTGTTTTTTAAAAATTCTGTCACTGACTGGAGGCGGGGGCAGTTTAAAAATATTGACCATTATGGGAGAGATTGTGAGACAACTGGGGCCAGATAAAAGGTTTGTTTGATGGTGTGTACATTGCAAAGGTTTTGGAGAGTGTGTTTTTGTTTTGTTTTGTTTTAAACAAAGCTGAAGAATAAGGGACACTTTGTTTTCTCTTAAGTGAATGTTTGATTTGTCAATTCTAGGGGTATGGTCTGACTTAAAGAAGCAAAACACATGTGGTCAACCCTGGCAAATACAGCTTTTAAAACCACAGTGTCCTAGCTTGGCTTAATGATGTCTATATTCTGCTGTTTAGCACACTTAGGAAATCAGTTAAGCCAGATTGGCATTGTATTGGACTTTCTCTTTCAAATATTTAATAATTTTAACTTAACTAAGCTGGTCTTCTACTTAAACCAAAGTCAAACTGAACTTTTAGTACCGAGAAGACCTGGAGACCCCTTGCCAAGTGATGCACTAGTCGTCAAGTAATCCTGTAAAAAATGGTAAGAAATAGTTTAAAAAAAAAAAATTAAAAAAATTAAAAAAATAAAAAAGGTAAGCAGGGTGCCATTTGCTACAAGCCATTAAGTGGCAGGGGGCCCCATGTCTGTGTGTTATGGAGCAAGGATCATTGGCCAAACAAAAGAGGCCTGAGCCTGAGGTCAGGGCCTCCTGCAGCCCTGCTCTGTTATACAGTGCTGGGCACATGAGCATTGCACATATTGTGGATAATTGCAGCATCTTGGAATTGAGGATAGTTGAGATATCACATCACTGAATCATGCTCCTGTTTTGCTTGATGTGCAAATACAAGCACTAACCAGCTGTTCTCAGGGCGCCCGCGCAGTGCCACACAGAGAATACCCTTATGTTCGCTTCAGCCATCACCCTCTGGGCCTTCTGGCTTCCAGATGTTGTGTAGCCTTCATCTCTCTTGAGGCAGCAAAAGGCATTGGGAAGGGAGAGAAGTTCCTCTACCACTTGTGTGTATGTGATCTGGAAGCTTAGAAATATTCGGGATTCTTGTGAGAATTTGAAGGTGCTTCATTAGTTCTTCTGAGTTCCTGTTGGCACTCCTTCCCCCAGATCAGTTTTTTCCTAATACAGCTGCTTTAGAAATGATTGCATCAATTACAAAGCACTATGTTTCTTTTTCAGAGTGGAGCATCCTGTATGTGACTGTGTCTGCTTTTATTTTGCTTGTGGTCACGGTAGGGCTCGCCTGGTTCTGCATCTGCTGCTGCAAAAGGTAGGCTGTGGTTTGTGCTCCTCTTTGGCAAGGTGTAGGCAAGAGCTCCCTTTGCCTGGAGTTTGCTCTCAAGCATAAATACTGTAGCTCATCTGTAGGGTCTGGAAGTGCTGCTCGAGACACTGCTAGTGAATCAGTCTCTGCCTTAGAGAAGAGCATATTCAAAAGAAGATGAGGAAAGGAAAAGGGGGAAGAAAAGGAGAGAAGAGAGTGGGGTGGAGGGAAGCTTTGGAAAGGAGAGCCAGGAAAATGCCCGAGGTGTGAGAGCATGTTCTCGAAGGTGCCCCTTGGTTACATATGTTAACATCCTTCTTTCTGCCCTGGAATCCTTTGCCTTGTCCCTCCATCCAGAACAGCAGGTCTGTCTCTTTTCTCTGCAAATAAGCAGTGGGGTTAACTTCAACAAACAGCTAAAACTGCATATGGAGATGATGGTGTTTGTAGCATTGTGGAAGTGAATGCTGAGAAAGGATTTAAATGAGGAAAGAATAGATGGGCTTTTTGCTTATAGATGGTGTTTTGCTTTTGGTTTTTGCTTTGCTCCTTCATATGAATGAGGAACTAACTGTGATTTTTAGACTGGCTTTCCCTGAAAGCATAACCAATCAGGTTCCATTGAAATCTCTTTATTAAAATAAAATAAAAAAATCAACCAGTTTCTGCAGAAATTTTATCTGGGACCCAATGAACATGTCTGCCTTATGTCTACGAAACTGAACAAACTGAGCCCCTTTGGTCCTAGGAAAGGAAGCAAGTGATACCCACTCCATCTTTATATATCAGAGAAAGAGGGGAGAGAGAGAGAGAGAGAGAGAGAGAGAGAGAGAGAGAGAGAGAGAGAGAGAGAGAGAGAGATAATATATACATTTCTCTCCCCCGTTCCAGATTGTGCTACTGCTTTAAGCAGGTGTAAAGTGGAACAACTCTTTTGGAGTGGAGGTGAGGTAGCAAAATGAGGTTTTGTCTTTATATATGGGATACATAGCTATGTATGTGAAGAGAGGGAGAAGGAATACACATTATGTGTGTAAAAGAGAGCTAAATATCCTTGTAATTTTTTTTTAATAGCAGGAAGAGGACGAAGATAAGAAAGAAAACCAAATACACCATTTTAGATAACATAGATGAGCAGGAGAGAATGGAACTACGACCCAAGTATGGTGAGAGCTTTCTGTTTGAGTTGGGATTTCTTGATTTCTGTAGGTAGTAAATTTTTCATGTAGGAGCTCATCCACTAAGTTTACAGACAGCATATTTGAATAGATAATACCCTTGGAGTAGAGGAGCCCAGAAGCTGGACTAGAGGGATGGAGAAAATAAAGGGAAGCACAGTTGGCGAAACAGTTGGGAATGATTGGCTTCCTGAAGTGCTTTAGGTCCTCACCTCAGGCGCTGCTTTTTTTGTTATGGTTGTTTGTTTGTTTGTTTGTTTTGTCAATTTTTAAAGGATCTAAATGTCCCAAAGATTTTTTCCACATAAACACTTTCTTCCCCCCAACTCTTACCCCTTTCTTTAAATTTAGAGCAGTTGTTTTAATGGGTGCACAGCAAATCTTCCTGCTCCATAAGCACCCTGTTACACATCAACCAACTGGGCCATCACCCTGTATGTGCTCCTCTATTTTTGTTGGTTTACCTTAGTTTCAGTTACTTTAGCAGGGAAAATACTGGAATCCAGTGGAATAAAATCATCCCAAATAACTGTTGTCCTAAAAAGAAAGAAGTAACACTCCTGTAAAAACCTTTTGTTACCAGGCATTTCAGACAGCTGAGTGGCCAGATTTCCTAGAGCTGAGCTATTAGAAGGGCACTAGTGATGTGCTAAGATCCTCTAATTGTCCCTCATTTAAATGCACATATTCACATTTTGGAGCCATAAACTGATGAAGTGAAGGTTGAGGGTCCACCTAACAGTATTGGTACCTCTGAGGCCAGTCTTTGGTAGGGGAGATGACAATGGTGCAAGTTATGCTGGACAGCTGAGGATATTTTCACCTGTTTTGCATGTCACAGTGAGGAGTAGATGTTTAAATTGTAACTCAGATTTAACCTTTCAAATGACCTTGTTTTGCTTGTTCATTGTCAGGTATAAAACACAGAAGTACAGAACACAATTCCAGTCTGATGGTCTCTGAATCAGAGTTTGACAGTGATCAGGACACTATCTTCAGCAGAGAAAAGATTGAACGAGAGAATCCTAAAACCCTCATGAATGGATCCATCAGAAACGGAGTTTCCTTCAACTACAGCTCCAAAGACAGATAACTGAATGAGGGTAAAAGCACAGGACACACTGGTCCAACACATTCCAAAAAGTTGGTCCACCTCTTTGTTTTTTCAAGAATCAAAAGCTTCCTCAAATATCAACTGATGGCAGATGAAAGGGTAAATTTGTAGCACACTGGAGGGAGGGAAAGAGGATTAGATGAACAAGTAGCTCCTGTTGTCAGTGCTGTAGGATCAAGGAAAATCACATTGTATTTCTTGCATGTTCAGCACTGAATGTTTGCCTAAACTTCAGAAGGCCTTTACTCCTGCCTTAAATCAGTGCTCTGCTGCTCCAGGATTAGCCAGAGCTTTGCTCCGCTACTAACAGTGATGACTTTGAGATATACATATATATAAATTGTGTCCTGTGCTAATACCAATATCCCTCTCTCAAAGAAGCAGCGTGATGATGAAGGTGACTTGAAACAGCTAAAGCCAGTATATGCCATCCCCTTTGCATCTGTAGAGAGGAATATGTGACTGCAGACTCTGTCATTCAGCTTTCAAGGCAGGGCACGAGGAGGGAGCGTTTTAGTGCATTGTGTTTATCTCCAAGTACGTCGTGTGACTTCCTGTTCTAGGGTAGCATTCATCGGATGGCCATGTCTGTGTTTTTCAAGGAAGTTTGCAATTACATAGTTGTGCCAGTCACCTGTGGACTAACGTGACACGTCTGCTTCCCACAGAATGCAGTATTCCCTGCACCTGCGGAGGAAGGTCAGTGTGTGTGGGGAAGTCCAGCCTTAGGTTGCTTCTGCAATGATGAAGGTGCTGCTGCTTGCTCTGGAGTCCCTCCGTGTCCAGAAGGTACCAGGTCCGTGGAGGACCTGGTGCGTTGTGCCTTCTGGAATGGTTGGAGCAGCCTCAGCTGCCTTTTGTACAGAGAGCACTTCCAAGGAAATCAGGACTTTCTAAGACTGAGGCTTAGCTGAGGTGAGTTTAAATCTGTCAGCCTCAGCGCTCGATTAAAGCAGCAGAATGTGCCAGGCCTTGGCAGAGCAACTGCTTGTGGCAAAGCACCCAGCATGGAGCAGGAGGTTTCACATATTCCTGCCCCACCATGGGAATTGGTAGTGAGGAAGATACCAACTTCAACATTAAAATGCCTTTTTCCCCCCTAGTTATTCACTGGTTAGATGTGTTAGCCCAGAAGAGATCCCTTAAGATGTTTAGAAAGCCTAGGAGTGTTTGGGTGCTGATGTTGCTGCTCTTGCTCTTGGTCTGGATAATTTGGATCGTTAGGCTCTGAAACCAAGTCCCTAAAGCCACGTCCCTGTTCGAGAGGTCCCATGCTGCAGACCCAGGTTACGTGTTGGCCTCGCTGCCTGTAGGGGCATGGGCCCCACTGGTGTGCCTGCCTTTCCTGGGCCCCCTCACGTGTAACAGGGCTTGGCTGGGGTGACCTGAGCTGGAAGCATGATGTGTTCTGGGGGGGAAAAGTAGTCCTTTAGGAGCATCTCAGTCAGCTGAAAAAGGGAGAAGAGAAAAGACTGGAGAACCCATTAATGGAGAAGGTTAGAGCAGTGCAGTGTCTGTGCAGAGCCTGGGGGGGGAGGGATCAGAAGAGTTGAGCAGGAGGTCGTATCCCCGTGGGGCCCTTGGGAACAGGTTGGTGGAAAATTTTGGTGCTTTTTTTACCCTTTCACAGAGGTGGCCACAGAAGCGATCGGGTTGAACGTGGTGGCATTTGTGCTTCTCTCGTGCCGATGGAGTTGGGCGGCCGTGTACGGAGCCACCGGGGCCTGGAGGACGCGGTGGGCGGCAGCGGGACGTGCTCGGGGTCTGGCTCGTGACCTTCACCTCTTGCTTCCCAAACGCAGCCAGCAGCCACCCATGAGTGCGTGGATGTCCCGTGAGGAGCGTTTGCCCTGGGCCCACTGCTGTGTTTCACTGGAGTCGTAGCAGTGGGCAGAGGCTGTGAAGGGCTAAACATGGCCTAAGCTAACGCGGTTCCCCTTGTTGGGCCTTGCCCCCTCACAAGACACCGTGTAGAAGGTATGATTTGCTTCACTTAGAAGGAAAATTTTCACTCTAAATGTAGATATTTTTAGGATATTTATTGAAAGAAGTCTACTTTATCTCCCCCCTCCCTGGCCCTCAGCATGGTTTTTTTTTTTTGAGTTGTTTTGGTTCTTTAAAGCTTAGCCCGTAAGTCAGGTCAACTTTCAAGTTTGCCAACAATGTTTCCAACATTCCTGGAGAAAGTTAAGGCCCACTCAGATCAGAGAATAGGCTGGGTTTTTGTTTGATTGATTGTTTGTTAGTTTTTTAAAGTAAAATTTTGGTCTTACTGTATTTTGTGTAAATTCTCATCATGTTCCATGAGCCGGGACACTTTTGGAAATGTGCACGGTCAAAGCCAGAAGTTCCATGACCAACTGCAGCTCTCCGTGCTTCTTGGCGCTTGTGCTGAGCGCCATGTGCCTGTCGTCTATCAGCTCGTCTTAGCAGCCCTTTGGGCAGCCAGCAGCAGCCTTTAGGCTGTGAAGTCAGTCCCTTACATTGATTACTTTCATCACACCTGATGTTGAAGCCTAGGACATGGTTTTGAATCAAGCCACAAGCATCATTTTTCAAACTAAAGAATGTGGTTGTCCAGTAAAGGGAGAACTTCAGTTTTCTCAAAGCTGCTCTTGGCACTGCAGAATTCCTGGCACCGTGCCTGCTCATACGTGTCATGGGCTCAGATCTTTCAGTCAGTGGCAAGCTCAGGTACCTGAACCTGCATCGTTGGCCTCTCTGGTTCTCCTTGAGGCAGACAAGAAACATTAGATCAATTTGTTTTTGCATAAGGCCTTAGCAAATGGGCATGGACAGTTTTCACTCAGGTGCTGCTCTGGCATTTTTATGGCCAGTAATATTTTGGTTAGAAGGTTTTGAATACTGAAAGGGGCGGATTTTTTGAGCTGCTTCTAATTCTCTTGGTTTGCTTTTCCTGCTGACTTGGGAGGAGAAGTAATCTTAAAATCTCTTACATACTGTCAGACTTGCTATTTGTGGTATCAGATTTTAGTGTCACTTGACCAAGCTTGATTTTGGCAGTCATTTAGGGCCGAATATAGCAAGCCTTGTATTTTCAATCAGTGTAACTTCTATTTCTAGAAATGTTGGTTTCTTAGAGGATCTGTCAAGCCATGTCCAGAAGGAAATGGCAAGAATACTGACTGCTACAATGCAAACACAATGGCAGGATTAGGAACTGCTGCTGGATTTCAGTTTTGGGTTATGGTGGGTTTTAAGCAAGCTCTCAGTGCTCACATTTGATTACACAAATGTGTTTTCGTTTGCGTACGGTAAGACTGCTGGCTCTTCCTTTTGAAATAGGGATGGGAATTTTTTTCAGGAAAGTGGAGCCCAAATGCAGTTTGTGTATGGATCAAAGAGTCCAGTTTAAAAAAGCAGATTACATCCATTTTGCCATTGATAAGATACTGTCTCACGAGGTGAACTGCATATTTCAGGGCTTCATATTCTCAGTGGGAGCATGGAATTTCCCCTCACATCCTAGTTTTACATTTATGGATGCTAGTGCACAGGAAGGGATTGGCTGGATAAAGGGCAGCTCTTATTTACATGCTCGAGCAAGGAGTATCTTTGGGAGAAGCTTTCTTGTCAGTCCTGCCCAAGGCATCAGATAGGTTGGGTACTCAACACTGTTTATACATGCAGTGCAAAATTGCCCTGGGGCAAATAGGTCATAAGCTTGTCTTTTTCTTTTTAGTTATTTTTAAATGTCTTAACTAAAAGGCTCTAGCAGTAGAATATGAACTTTGCTTTGGCAAATCTAAGGACCAAATCCAAAGCCTCTGTCCTCTGCTTCACCTTTTTGTATCGAGTAGGCAGTGAAGAAATTCAGGTAAAATGTGAGCAGTCTAGTTGTAGAGGGTCGCACGTGTGGTGAGAGGGTAGCAAGTGTTTGCTTGTGTCTGACCTGTGTGAGAGCAGGTTCTCAGCCTCCTGCTGGGCCAGATGAGCACTAGATACAGCTTCTCCTTAGTGTCTGTTTTGTGCTGCCCGGTGTGTCTGTTGTATGCTGCTAATTTTCACTTTTCCTCCTTGATCTTTTGGGGGCGAGCAGAAATGCACCCCCACGCAGGGGATATAACACCGTGTGTGTGTGGTCTCTGTGCTGGGTTTCAACTTTCTTTAGACAGCGCTGATATTCTTGAAGAAATTGAGTTTTGGGGAGGCGCTGGTTAGGCCAGTTTCCAATTGCCTGCTTTATAGTGTAAAGCAAAACTAGTTTGCCCCTCAATACGCTGATGAGGGGCTGTAGCTACTTGAACTTTGGGTGTGGTAGTGATCAAATGTGAACTGTGTTGAACTACTGAGCCGTCTATGTGGGATTTGAGGGAAGCAAACGTGTTTTGAAGGGAAGTGGTGTAATGGTATTTGAAGTTCTCAGCATCAGGTACTGCTCACGTTGCTCCCTAACCAGGATACCAGTCCCATAGCTCTGCAGCAAAGGGAAAACAGGCCTTTAAGGTCCTGAACTCCCTATGGCAGAGGAGTGAACCATAAAAGGTAGAAATAGGAGGAGGAAAAGAAGGAGAAAGAGCATTTTCTGTTTTGCACAAGCAATGAATCAAGTGCGGATGAGCCGCACGTCAGGAGTTTGCCTCTGTGTGGAAGCACTTCTCCCTGTGGGTGGATGGGTGAGCTATAAATTGCAAAATTTATAAGGGAATCTGTTTCTAGAAATGTTATTTATTGCATATGATAACATATTGTAACTAGAACCATTTCGGAGCTGGAAATACTACCTTTATGTAACCCTTCTAATAAAGTTTTGTCTTTCCTTCTAGGAAGTTGTCAGGTGCTCTTTTATATGTGGTAGGATTCTGAATTGGACTCAACAATCGGGTCAGAATAATAAAATACAGTTGTATGATGTAGCTTATGTCTGTACTCCAAGCTAGAAACAGTGTAATAGCTGACATTGACAAAACCGTAGAATTCTTTATTTCCCTACTTCTTTTTTTCCTTTTAATGCTGAAGTAACATAATTAATTGTACTGGATAAGAGGCCTGAAAAATTCTCCCTGCAATTTATAGTAAGAGTTTTCATGTTGGCTTTTCCTTCCTTGGCTTAATTAAGCAGTTGAGCATTCATAATTATGTACCCGCTGTCATGCACGGAAAGGCCAGTGCGGTGGTTTCACGAGCTCTGTGGTTTGTTCCATCATGTATTGAGTGCCTGAGTGTTGGCAAGACTGCCTTGCAGCGGTCAGGAGCTGGTATTTAATATAACCTAAGAAGTTAAGGACAGGTAACGCTGCTGTGGACATGGCTTTCCCTTGCAGTGTTTTTGCATTGTGCTTTTTGGTGATAGAGATGGCAATAGCCTCCCTTCTGATACAAACCTGTACGATGGAGGGAGCAGCAGTGGTGATTGCTGAACAGCTTGGGCAGTTGTGCTAAGTAGCTACATAGGGAAAGCAAACAACATGCCTGGGAAATGCCCACAGTAGCTTCTCAGGTCTTGCACTTCTGGCAAGGAAAATGCTTCAAGTGCTAACCTGTAACGTAGAGCTGCTGAGCACAAACCTGCACCTGTGCTCTCAAGCTATTTCAGGCTTTCCATAGGCTAGGAAAAGGCAAAGGGTTGTCCCTCATGAACAGCTATGCAAACAGCGATGCCAGTTACGGTGAAATGGGTACTTCAGTGCCAACCCAAATCCTGGATGTCCCCTTTTACCTGCAGGATGGTCAGACTTCCAGAAACACAAGTCTAATGAGATTGTGCGTATGTGTGTGTGGGGGGGCATTTTATTTTATTTTACTTTTTAGTATGAAGTGTTGTAGCCTTTGTAAATTACTTAAACTGCCCTTTGTGTTCTGTGAGAATCATAAAAGCATTCCATTTGTTTTCAGAAGACTGGTCTGTCTAGGAACACGTGAGGCAGCAGAACTGCTGCTTCAATTTTTCCTTAGACACAACACACTCTGTGCTAGGAGATAATGAAGTGCAGGCTGCTGGCTGCCCTAAACCCAAAGGGCTCAGATGGTGGCCAAGCTTGAACCACTCCTCAGCAGCCCCGTGTGCCTTTCATCTCCCCAGCATCAGCTCCAGCACCATGAGGTGCCCTTGCCAGGGTCAGCTGGCCAGCTTAGTGTCCCCAGGGGCGAGTACCACCTAGGGCAGCATCTCCAGAGGGCTTCTGCAATAGGGTTGGCAACAAACGTCTGCCTCCAAGTCAAAAACACCAACGTGAAGCCCTAGTTGGTCCAACAGCCCAACAGTTGTTTCTCAGTTTGTTTCTGACGCTGAGGTTACAAACAGTTAACTGAGCACGTACAGTAGGATCTCATGGAAGCTGTTCAGAGGAGGAGGTAAGAAAATGAGGTGGAAACTAACCCTGAAGAAGCTGGGTTGGAAATTAGAAGATTTCTAAGAGTTCAAAATGGTCTTAACTATATGGAAATAAAAACATATCCCCAAACCTACTTTAAATCTTAATTTATTATTATAGACAATGACACAAATCTCTATATCCTGAAAGCAGGGAAAGGTCTCTGGTCCACGAAGCCTTTCCTTGGTGCTAAGTTGTTTGACTTGCACGTGAAATAACTGCCAGCATATGAAGATGTGAAAGTAGACAGAGCACTACAGGAACTGGAACACAAGGTGGTAGCTGGGATAACCAAAATCTTGCATCTGAAGAAGGCCCTTGTGGAGAGAGTCTGGGTGTTTTTTTTTTTTTTGTTTTTTTTTTTGTTTTGTTTGTTTGTTTGTTTGTTTGTTTTTTCCTCTCTCTCTTCAGTTTTTTCCTCCTCTCTCTTCAGTGCTTAATGGACTAAATTTCATGAAGCTGCTGTAAGTTATCAATTCAATATTGAGTAAATTAACAAACAAAAGAATCCAGTGGTTTCATGAGGTTATTTATTAACTGGCAGATTTTTCGATCACAGTTTTAATATCTAGAAGTTGATGAGCTATCACAAATATAATCTTAACATAAATGAAGTTTAAGAATTCAAGTATATCTTTCATTAAAGAATCACAGCTTTTGCTATGAGTACAACTTAAGATTATTCTGTGCTTACTGATGTAGACCTTATTTACCCAAGGCAACTATGTCGGAATCCAACCATAATCCAATCTAGACAAAGATATTTTTGAAGTTTATTATGTGAGTTATCACTGATTATGGCTTGTGCTTGTTATCAGGTGTAGTAAAATATTTTGTGCTGGGGAAAGGTAAATATTTACCCACTACTTTTAAAATCCTGGTGTCTCTTCTGAGAATAGCACTGTTAAATGCACCAAAGCAAGAGTTTTGCAACTCATAAAGGGGCAGGTAAAAGAAGGTACCCTCTGACCTCACTGTCCTGAGATGAGCACCTACATGAAAGGCTGTACCCTCATACAGCAGTGAGGCAACTTTAATATTAAACTCTCTCTTTCCAGGAAGAAATAAACAAATTTTAGCAGCTGATGCTGACCTGGGGGCAGCCTGTGTGCTCAGCAGCTGAGTGGGCTACAAGAAAACGTCTTATAGCTATCACAGAACTGTGTCATCTTTTCTGTTGGTTCCTGCTGCAGCCGATAATGACATTAAGCCCTTGCTATCTTAAATCCATAGCTCTATGCAGTAAGAATTTTTGGAAAGACAGCAACTGTCCTTTATGTGCCCTGTGGCCAACATGATGCACCCAGCCCTTCTTACCGATAGAGAAGGTTTCAGGTGTTGCACAAATATTTACCATAACCATAACAAATACTCAGAAATAATGAGTAGCAATCAATACTACCTTATGTGCGCTTTAAAAAACCCTATGAAACTCTTATTCGGCCTTGCTTTCTACCTCCCACCAAGTTATGTCTTACAGTATGTGGCAGCCTTCTCTACACCTACTATTTTTGTGCTTACCACTGGCCTAGTTCATAGGTACATTCATTAGTTCATAAGGCTCTCCTGCCTTCTTGTATTTAGTTTTCATAATTAATTACTAAAGCCTCACGAAATAGAAGTGAACCAACAAAGGAAATAAAATGTCTTCCACTTTACCTCTGCAATGCTGGCTTAATTAACAAATTAAAGTTGTCCTTTTTTTTAAAGTGCTTTTCTTTTTACTTCCATTGAAATAATGTTTGAACACTATTGCTTAATTCACATTAAGGAAACTTCACATCCTCTTTTAAAGATGGCAGTTAAAAGAATGAGGTGATGTATAAAAATCTCACCTCTGCTCCTTCCTATTCCAGTCTTCATTAGCCTAGGAAGCAGACGAGTTTAAAGGCTTTTTTTTTTTAACCTTCCTCAATAATGGATGTTGGCAACAATGAGGACAACAACCCTACATCAAGGCACGCAGAGGAACCCAACCATCTGCTCACTTTGGAAGGGCAGGGTAAAGTTCTTCAGAGCTGGAGCAACGTTTATGCCGATGACCTTCCTTCATCCCCAGAACAGCCCCGTTCAGTTCACAAAGGAAATGTTCATTTGTCATTATGTTACCACTTGGGACCCCTTGCACTGCTGGAAATTATTGCCCCTCAGCATCCTCTCCTGCCACCCCTGCCCACGAGGGCAGCAAGCCTGTGCACTCCTGGGCCTCACGCCTGCACCGAGCGAGGCCTGACTTGGCCCAGCCTTTGAAGCTGCCAGCGCTCTCTTCTGAGGAGAAGCTCAGCCTGAGCCCCTGCACCGCTACCAGGCACCGGCGGGGCCCAGGCTCTGTGTTTGCCTGCTCGGATGCCCAGCTGTAGCTAAAAGCAACTCCCCACCTATCACAAGCATCGCCTTCTCCTCCAAATCAACAAAACAAAAACACTGCTTGTAGAAAAGGGTGATGTTTGGAGCTGCATGAGAAAGTGTCGTTATTTGCACCAAATTTGGAAGAGAGGCTCCCTTCCTCACATCCTACACCACCCAACTCAAACATCAGAGCAGAAAAAACGGGTCTCTTTCCTCCTTTCCATAACCTATGATGATCTGTTTTCATTATGTACCTGTCTCCAAGCTCTCCCCCGTAATGCTGGGGCTGTTCAAAACCAGCAGATGTACATTCTTCCCTGTTCCTTACGTGACATAACACAGTGTCATCCTATTACTGAAAAACCAAATGTATAAACATAGAACATGTAAAAATATATGGCAGCACAGAGTATAGTAAACATCTCTACACATACTCACACAATAGGATTACTTATTTTTTACAGGTGAAAGTTCCATTCATTCATATTCCTGGCTCTACAAGCTTATTAAAACTACAGCACTGTTTTCCAAGCTTTTGGGGATTGTGATTTTTTCGAGAAAGTTTACAAGCCTCCAAAGCAGATGTACTTTATCTCCAGGTATTCGTCAATGCCGTATTTGGAACCCTCTCGGCCCAAGCCGGACTCTTTTACTCCGCCAAAAGGACTCTCCGCGGAGGAGATGATGCCCTCGTTGACGCCAACCATGCCGACCTCCAGCTGCTCTGCCACTCTCCAGATCTGAGCCGGATCCTCAGAGTAGAAATATCCTGTCATGCAGACACAGAAGCACAGGAGTTACAAGAGAGCAGAAGACTAGGTAAATGATGCTTACTGACACTGTGTCAATTAACAGTTCTCATCCCTTTAACTGAAGCACTGAAGTTCGTAACAACACAGAAATGATATTCATCTGTGTGAGGCACATACCTGCTAACCCAACATTGGCTGCATTTGCTATAGCAACTGCTTCTTCCTCAGTCTCAAATCTGGCAATACAAAGGAAAAAATACGAGTGAGGTTTACAGTTCAGAGGTTATCTTGCTGAGTTACTGCTGTGATGCCACCTTACGAGAAATAATGAACATTTTTTCCCCTAAGAGTGTATTTTCAACATCTGGTTCAATTTTTGTTTTGCAGCAGGGGATCATCAACCACTTTCCTTAATTTAAACTCCTAGGTAGTAAGGATTGTGGTCATCTTCCTAGATACTCTCAATTAATGAAATATTTACCTGCCATGGGCTAGCTCACCACCTTCCCCACCTACACAAGCACTCTCAGTTATGAGAGAGGGCACCATGTTACTCCAGTTGCAACCTAACCCGTGCACTCACTGTGGATGGAGGTGGAGGTTGTTTTAAGGAGGAAAAGCCAGGGAGCTTTTCCTTGATCAGAAACACTTAGGACTCAGTCCTTTGGCCAGTTACCAAGTTCTGCCTCCCACGTCATTCCACAAAGCATGAAGCTGGTGAAGGTTTGGCTGCCACCCTCCCTTCTTAACTGCTGATTCAGTTTAAAGGACTCTTTTTCCAAAAGCTACAACGATACTAAAACTAAATCAAGAGAGTGAAACCAGCTACCCAGATATCCAAAGCAAGTTTTCATGTGCGTATCCCAGTCATGGTACAATATTACTGTAATCCAATAAAAGTATCTTTCAGCAAATACTGATCATGATATTATAATACAAGAAATAATCTTTGACTGATTTTCTGTAGTGATTTTTTATCTGGAAAATGAATAATCTTACTTGATAACTGGTGCTAAAGGACCAAATGTCTCTTCTTGGGTGCAAAGCATTTTTGTTGTAACGTTACTAAGTAATGTTGGCTCAAAGAAGTTCTTCCCCAAGCTGTGTCGTTTCCCTCCAGTCACAATGGATGCTCCTTGGGAAACCGCATCACTAATGTGTCTCTCTACCTGAGGCATGCAAAACAAAAATCTAATAAAACTAATTTTTAAAAATGTACAGTAGTATATTTTACACTGTAGAAACACTACTCCCCCATATTAAACATTTTTTTTTAAAAAGACAACTTTGCAGAACACCATTTGCAATGTTATTTAAAATTTCTCTTGAATTTTAGTTTGTATCACTCAGACATTATTTCAGAGGAAGGAATTATAAGTATGTTCCCAATTCCACAGCGATAATAGATGTAACTTTTCTAAAATTCATCCAAAGTCAAGCAGATAATAAGAATACCAAAGTGCTAATCTCTGCCTAGAATTTCATTATTTGAAATAATAACGAGCTCTTAAATGACTATATAGAGTTCTTGTGTGTGTGTGTTTATGAAGATGTTTATGGTGCACATCATACTTTTTCGATGCAAAAAACAAGCATCCTCTTACATTCTTATACTTGAAAAAAATCATATTATTCAATCATTTGTTTCCTGAATAACAGTATTTACATATTACAGTATTTCATAAAATGAAGGAATTTGACAGTATTCACGTAGGATGGAAATAAAATCAAGCTGGAATATGACCAAGCCATAACATGTTAGCACGTACAAACCACTAATTTAATAATCCTCAACCTTAGGAAGAGTAAAAGGGAATAGTATAGAAAATGTGATTTACTGCAATTCCAAAATCATAAGAGTTTCCTGGAGCCTCGAGTAATCCAAAACAGAAGACTCAGCCCACACAGAGGTTTTAGTGACTCCAACATCTGGAGCTCTGCTATTCCCAACCTCAATGCATTATTCTGCTTAGATTTTTCCAACCAGACTCACTGTTTTTCAAAAGTTCTCCTTCCTGTACCTCTGGACTGGGAGAATCAGCACACAGTTCTGACCGAGCACCCAGTTCCAAAAAATTGTCCTCTTTAGAATAGCCAAGAAATAACTAGAAAGAATCAATTTCTCTGCTCAGAACAACCTCTTGCTCTGTAATGCATGTATAGGAAAGACACTGTGAGTGCCACATCTGTCCCAGCATCCGTGCACACGGGCTTGGAGGAGAGGACAGGTTTCCAGAAAAGTAGCCACACTGTAAATCTGTTTTAACAAATCAAGTGTGGAAAAAGAAAAAAGGTAAATATAAACCCAAAGCTACTTTATAGATCATGAAGAAAATTAAGCTGTCAAAAATGAAATATTTTATTTGTACCTTCTCCACTGCTTTTTCATTAATGAGTGGTCCCTGGGTGGTTTTTGCATCAAATCCATTTCCAACATGAAGCTCTCTTTCAATGGCTTTAGCAAACTTCTCCACAAATTTGTCATGGATTCCCTTCTGCACCAGGAAACGGTTTGCGCAAACGCAGGTCTGAAAACAAACATGAAAATGTAAAACAAGTAGTAACTTGTATTGTATTTCATCTAGCCATGAATTATTTCCGGCTTTCATGACACAGTAGTGGCTTGCTACAATGATCTGTCCTTTGCCTCTTCTCCATCAGCCTAAACTGCTGAAAAGTTCTGCCACTTCTTTCATCATTCCAGAACTCCAACTTTAACAAGGAGTCAGTACATGGGCCAAGTATCACATATTGTTAATAGAAATTGTTCATGGTGGCAAAAGGTTTTCTGAGCTCTGTGGGCTCTCAGATATGAATCAACGAGGGTGCTAAAGTTGTAAGAAATATCCCCCAATTAGAAACCACAGAGCACCGGGCTGACCAACAGAACTGTGTGTCAGGCTTGAAGACGTGATGAGGGGTCTTTTTTTCCCCTTAACTGCTTCATTAATTGGAGTTGAGTTGTCTTTCTTCCTGGAATTTGCTTGCAAATGTTTTCAATGACCTACTAACATACACATTTGTGCTGCCCATTTGCTCTGACCACAATGTCCATTTGCCCTTGTGCTGCCCATTTGCTCCTTACTACAATGTCTCAGAAGCAACATTTGTTACTCCATCCAACCCTTATCCATCCAACCACATTACCTGTGCTGCTCCTTATTCCACGCAGCAGCCTGCACAAGAAGTGCCTCGTAGCTGGATGTTGTCCCAACGCCTATCTGACCACTTGGGTCATCCTTATCCACTTTCCAGTCTCTTTGCCACTTCCTTTCTTCCCAGCACTAATCTTATATTTTCTTTTTGTGTTATTCAAGCACTACCAGAAAACATCCCCCCATCCAAACGACCTTCTAATCTCCCTCAAAACTTGCTTTTCTCTAAAGTTAGAGTTCTTCAACTTAACATTCACATCTCTTAGATGCAGTTCTCCTAAGAGTAAAAGAGTCTTCATACAACCCCATATAGCTGACTGGTCTGAAAAGCTGTGCTCTTCACATTTTTTTGTTTACATAAAACACATTTGAGGCAAAATACTCTTGAAGCCTGATTACTTTTAAAAACCTCTTTGCTGTGGAAAATCTTGGTAGGTTTGTCTCCAGGCATTTCAATCATCTTAATTCTGCCAAGTGCTTTCAGGGCACAAGAAAGACTGGGATCAGACGCAGAGACTCAAAGATAGACTGGAATTTTAAAGAAACTGCTAAATCCAGAGAACTGAAGCAAGATGATGTCTTTTCTCAGTTCCAGCTCTCCAACAATTTAATTCAATGTTCATTAAGCGATACATTTAATAAAATACCCCATTCCTTCTCACACTACTGTGAGGGATCCTGGTGAGCATTTTCCTTCTCATTGCTAGTGTTCATAACTAAGTGCCATATGCATTGTAAAACTACACGGGATTTTACAGTACTGTTCTTCAGACTTGCTCTTTGAAAACTGGTTTAAGCCCAGAGACACGAATCCAGCATATGTCCAGCTTTTCACTTTTGCAAAAGCACATGGGGAAAAAAAAAGCCCTTACCTGCCCCGTGTTTCTGTACTTTGAAACAAGGGCCCCTGCAACAGCCCGGTCCACGTTGGCACTATCAAACACAATGAAAGGAGCGTGCCCTCCCAGCTCCATGGACACGCGCTTCACGGTGCCCGCCGCGAGTTTCAGCAGGATCTGCAGGACAGACACAGAAATCTGTATCTCTCCCAGATGGAAACTAGACACCACAGAACTTGCAGGTGGAAGGCACTGAAAACTAGCTCTTGCAGTGAATTTATCTGCATCTTCTCTATTATGCTAGACCCTGTGCTTCCTTCCGTTACAAGTGCATAATTTGCTTCATTAAAATTTTGGGATCAAATTACACCAAGAAAAGGATTCTCATCAACTTCAGATCAGGCTTCTACTCAGTGATTCTGTCACTCTCATTTGTTCATTTCTTTCTTAATAATGAATACTCTGATTGAGAAATTTTCCCACAATCTGACAGACTGTGGGGCTTAGATTTGCCTTTGTGTCAGACTTGTTCTTCATTCCCCCCATGGCCGTCCGTTGGATTCTACCACACTCTGCAGTATCACTGCTTTCATTTGGGACGTGGAAGACAGGGTCTGCTTATGGACTAAAGCTGACAGGAGACCATCAAAGCAAGGGCCCTACTTCTCAAATGCTTCCTCTCAACTACAGAAGCCCTTCCCAAACAGTACATTTGAAATTCAGTGTTCCTATTAGTATGTTATCACCAAGAAATATGGAGCAAAGGTATCTTGCACAGCACTAGTCAGGTTAGAGTTTGATAAAAGGCAATTACCCAGATGCTGTACAGACATCCTTCTGCAAAGCACAGATACTAAATAGTGTCTCAAAAACATAAACTTAGTTGGACAAACTGTGTCCTGCAGCCATTTTCCCCCTACCTTCCCAATATAATCACAGTAACAATCTTCAAGGAGATTGTGTGCACGTATGTACCTTTCCTGTCGCAGTGGAGCCAGTGAAAGATATTTTGGCTACTGAAGGATCAGTGCACAGAACTTCCCCTACAGCTGGTGCCTGCTGTCTGGAACAAGGAACAACATTATACACTCCCGCTGGAATTCCAGCCTGGTTTGCGAGCTGCAATGACAGAAACACAGAATTTGCATTAGCAATAGACTTTGTAAGAGGAGCACATAACAGGCAATGGATGAACGAGTGTTGTCTGCTTACTGCTCTGAAGAAACCAGTCTGTAAGTCAGTGGAAACTGAAGGTCTAAGCACAACTAATAACAGATGACAGAATCAGAGACTGGCTTCACACCTGTTTAGGTTGGCTGTCATTCAAAGTAACCCAAGAAAAGATATAAAGATGTTTGTGTGCTGTAATATGGTTAGATCTGTAGGCTTCTGACCATTTTCAAGGCAACTCTCAAGGATTAGTAATAACTAAAATCTCTGCATCTTCTGAGCCGACTTGTCCTTTCTTCCTGCATGAGCTTGGCTTCAGTTATATTCAAAGTCCACCTACCTCCTGTTAGTGGATTCTAACACAGAAAACCTGGCACCAAAGCTCACCTCTCCAAGAGCCAGCGCTGACAAGGGAGTGTCCTCGGCAGGTTTCACCACGACCGTGCAGCCAGCTGCCAGAGCCGCGCCAACCTTCCGTGTGATCATGGCACTTGGGAAATTCCACTATCAGGAGAGAAAAGTACAGGCAAAGTTGGGAAAATGCTGCCCCGTTTCCATGCAAATGGCTGGCATTTCCCTCAGTTACATGATCATCTAAACAGACCTGCAGGAAGTACCCTGTCCTAAGCAAACACTACAAGGAAGTACTGCCAAGCCAGGAAGAAACGAGGACAAGGCAGAAATGAAGCTTTTGCTGGCTGTTTCCTATGGCAGGATGAGCCAAAAGGCCCCATGCTGAGGGCTAAAGTTGAAAACCTTCATGTGATTGGAAAATTCAACTGTACTTACTGGGGTTATAACAGCTGCCACTCCTACTGGCTGTTTCAGCACCAGGATTCTTCTGTCTTTCCCAGATGCTGGAATGATATCACCATAAACGCGGCGAGCTTCTTCTGCAAACCATTCCAGAAACGAGGCCGAATACAGAACTTCACCCTGTGCTTCTTTCAGAGGTTTGCCCTTTGGTTAGATCAGATTGAAGACAAACTTTAAGTCGGCAGATTTGACAACAACAAGTTTAAGTCACTTCAGAATTTTTGCTCTACAGTGATATTTTGCTTGATAATCCCATATTGCGTATGCTGCCATTTCCAACAAGCATTATACGAGTTCACAAGCAATTGCTCTGCATTCTCAATATACGGTCACTGTAGAGCAAACAACTTGTCTGCGGTGCCAGGATTTTCACGTGTACTAAACAGAGACCTGAATAACACATGTGGAACATGTTGATTGGCAAACTTTGCAGTGAGCTGGTATTGCCATTTTGAGGATGACAGAAAATAGGACAAAATAAGCCCATGTGCTAGGGGTATCTGGGGGGAAGGAGCATTTCTTTTGCTAGCTCCAGGCCTGGTCCAGTGGACTGAATGCTCTGTGATGCAAACCAAAGCCAGCTAAGTGAGCACAGCTGGGATACTTGCTTTAACAGGGCATTCTGATCCAAACAAAAACACCCGTATAGGTGTAACCTGTTAGATATGAACGACAGGAGGTTTAGTGAGGCAACTGAGGGCAGACTCCAGATCCTGACTGCCTGGGTGGGACTTTAAAGGAACACCCACGACAAGCACTATCATAATCACAGCAAGGATTACTTGCCAGATAGCTGCTTTTCCCTTAGAAGATTAGAAGAGGCAAAACTGCAGTAAGAAGGAACCTTCAAGAAAGGCAACCCATGATCCCCAGAGTCTGTCCTTTTTCATGATCTTTATCTGGGCATATGTGCTCATCCTTTCTAGCTCTCAGACTAGTAATTTGGCTAAGTCTATTTGGCATAAACTATCGAAATCTAACCACTCAACTCAAGCAATACAAAAAAAAACCCCAAAGTTACTACAGTCTTTATTTCACACACTAAAGCTCAAACCCAGCACTTGCATCAGTTTTCCCGGTGCATACGTACATACTTTTTCTTCAACTTTTATCCAAGTCAGTGAAACTCTGATAACAAACGCTTTATGCCATAAGGCACAATTTAGGCTTATGTCACCTTCTGTACATCATGTTGGGGCCCCGATCTCAGCTAGTACTGATGCCATCGGTGGCATTAGAGAATGGGCTCTACATATGTAAAAGCGACGTTTGCAACACTGTGTATCCATCTAATAGGTAGAAGTGAAATGCAAAGCATGCACTAAAGCTCAACATTTTTGAAGCAAATAATTTTATTTAAAAAATAGTGTCTTAACTGCTAAAACACGTTAGGTGTTTTGCTAGTTTCCTGTTTTACTTTCATGTTAGTGCATTATGTTTCTAAAAACAAAAATGTTGCTGTTGTAACCTACCAATTATCATGGCTTTGGACCTAAGACATGCCACTTAAATGCTCGGGCTGCCTGGGCACCTTTAGGAAGCTTCAGAAATGATTGTTCACGCACTGCGCTGCTGAGAACTGCTCCAGTGGCAGCACCACGGCAGCCAGGGCAGGGGCTCCCCCCGAAAGCCGCTTCCGAAGCGGCAGGGAAGCGGAGGCCTCGCCGGGGCTCACGGCTGCCCGGGACAAGGAGCGGGAAGGACGGGCCGCATGGCGGGCACGGGGGCTGGCAACGCTGCGCCCTGCCCCGCTGCTCCAGCGAAGCAGTCGCGCGGGACACTCACGTTCTCCGCCGTTATGATCCTGGCCAGCTCGTCTTGGCTCTCCATCACCAGCTCGTACCACCTGCGCAGCAGCGCGCTCCTCTCCTGCAAAGCAGAGGCAGGCACCGCGCTCCCAACGGCCCCAACGGCCCCTGGCGACCCCCGCCCCGCCACCATCTTCCCGCGCCTCTCA